CCGCACCCTCGTGTGCCCAGAACTTCATGGGTTCTTGCATTTGGCAAGGGACAAACCGTTCATGACGGTCGCCCTCGACACAACTAGATTGACCAGAAGAGGCCAGGCAAGCTCCACAACCGGGGTCTTTAATGCAATCGTCACATGTAGAGAACTGGCTGCAGTGATTGCACTTGTCAGAAGTGTCTGAAAGTGCTGCGCAGGAGTGTCCTCTGTGAGCAGCAGCTGATCGATCCCCCATGCCTCCCATAGCACCACGGCTGAGGACACAGCGCGAGCTGCGTGGTGTGTAGTCGTCAAATAGCTCTCCTGAGCACCACGTGCAGCTTACATGCTCTTCCGCGATGCAAACTGAGCAATTGCGTAGGACATTGCAATGTGGCTCAGCGTCAAAGTACGAGAAAACATCTCCTCCACGACATGCAGAGAAAGGGACATTTGCCTCAACACAACTTCCACCCACGACATCTCGATCAGAGAGCTCCGTGGACCAACCGCATGCTGGGTCCTATACTGAACTTAAACCCATGGCAATATTTTATTTTTAGCTGTTTCGCAGGGATTATAACCACCAAAGATAAAAAAGTTATTTCTAAGTACCCCTAAAGGGAACTCCAGAAAGTTGGAATATGGTTTCAGGGTAGGATACCCTATAATTTACCATAAAGGGTTTAGAATAATCATATTCCAACTTTCTGGCTTTTACTTTAAGGGTCCTTCAGGCAAGCTTTCAAGTCATCTTTGTACTCGGAGCAAAGCCCACTGGCCGTGGAAGGGCACTTGTCGGAAGATGAGATAAGGCCTGGGTTCTTGTTAGGGGATTGAATTTAAGTTACCATAAGATGGAAGCCATAATATTGATTATTTACTAAAGATCAGCATTATGGTAACTTACACCTTAAAACAACTATACCCTTAAAGGAACCCTTGTAGATCCCTACTGTGGTAACCAAGAGGCAGTGTTCGTCTGCGTCTGAGCTCGGGCACGCTTTGATAAATGAACTCCTCGCTCTCTCCACGCATTTCAAGTTCTTCGCATCCCATGCGCAGCCGGGCTCCTGCGCACAAGAATTGCATTTCGTCAAGGAAGAGCAGCTCACCTTGGGGCAGTACTCCGAGTCACGAGATTTTGCACATTGATCGCTCTTGCAGGATACTGCCTTTTGACCAACACACATGTCCCCAAAAGCGCCCACTTTGGCACCACATGTCTGTGTGCTGGCACACCACATGCAGTTCTTTGAGGCCACACATTCGCTGCAGGTGGATCCTTCACAGCTCCCGGGGCACTTGCCGGCATCAATGCTGCCAGAGAACCAGCACTGTCGGTCGCACTTTCCTTCTTTAGGACCCAAGGCAGCAGGACCGGCCTTCGCACAGCTACCCTTAGATCCTGTTCCGCACCAGCCGCATTGGTCGAAGCCTTGCCTAGCGACTGCACAGGTGCCACAGTCTCGGATGCCAGAGCAGTCAAGACCACTGACACCGCGCGAAAGGCAGGCGATGAAGCAAATCGAAAGGCGGCGCATCTGCCCCGAATGCCTCAGAGCTGGACGCGACATGTAAGTATATGCTAGAGCCAAAACATCACCGGGATCACAGCATCTTGCAACGTCAGCGCATGTTCTCCTCTATCACATCTCCAGAAGCGCTTGTTACTCTTCTACCGAGCTTCAACATATCATTAAGGACCGTATAGCAAGCCCTGATAGATAACCCTCACCCTTACAGAATCCCTGTGAGTTCAAAACCTAGCAAAAAATCGCAATTACAACCAAGCACAGCCAACGGCTCCTCTCTGAAGCAAACCCCCAAACCCGAAACACCTAAAATCAAACCCAAAACCCTAAACTGCCTTAACCCCTAAACCGTAAACCCAGCAACCCCCAAACCCAAAATTCCCCTAAAACCAAACCCAAAACCCTAAATAGCCCTAAACCCTAAACCCTAAACCTTAAACCCTAACTCCTATTAGGGCCGCCAGGATGACCTTAAACCGTAAACCCCCCCATGCTCCCCGGCGCCTCAGGGGTCGGCCGCGAGTTGCGTAGGGACCTTGACCTGATTACAGTAAACCAAGGGGTTTAGGGTTTAGGGGTTTAGGGTTTAGGGGTTTAGGGTTTACGGGTTTAGGGTTTAGGGGTTTAGGGTTTAGGGGTTTAGGGGTTACAGTAAACCCCATAAAGTTGGAAACTGGATTGGGCCAAATAGTGCTGGGATTCCCTATATATTACTCTTAAGGATGGTGGCTCTGGGGTTTCCAACTTTTGGGCTTCTACTGTAGGAGAACTTTACCCACAGGGTCCTAAGTACCTCTATGGGGATACTTTCCCATACCAGAAAAGAAACTCCAGATATAGAAACCCTACATTCTACCATATAGGCGCTTGAGACGCTTGGGTTCGCTTCTTTATGGTTTGGGGTCTTGGAGTAATTGTAGCGTGAAGGCGCTCTACAGCTCAGTGTGTCAGGGTTGATGGTTAAGGGCTTTAGCGTTTCAGGGGTCAGGGTTTTAGGGTTTCAAGCTTTAAGGTTATGACAGAAGAAACTGCGTAGGATGCCCATTCCGGTCGTACCCCTTCTTATGGTGTTGATACCCTTACCCCTAAACCGTTTCAATACGAACCCCTGATGCGATTCCAATACGGCCCGGGCCTCTGGATCACGAATAATGTAGTAACCTGATTAAGAAAAGAGATCCTTAAAGGGATCTAAAAGGGTTTAGGGTTTAGGGCTTTATGTAAGAAGCAGATTAATTAAGAAACCTTGGGCCTTTACTAAGGCTCTTTATATGACTCCTACTATTTTGGGGTTATAGGCCCAGGGTTTCTTTACATTACGACACGAGCACGATTGTCAGCACGATTACACTTAAAATGTAGGGTTTCTGTTAAAGGAATTACTACTGTGGTTTCGGCAAGCATCCCCTTAAAGGAAACCCTTAAAGTATCCCCCATATAGGTACTTAGGACCCTTTATTGTGAAGCATTCCTACCCGGAGATCCCAATACCCCTTGATTAAGGAATATATAGCTTAAGTTATACTAGGATCCCTAATATGATTTAATAAGGCATTGGCATATTCCTTAATTTAATTAAGGGGTATTGGGATCTGTTTGTAGATGGGCCTGCCTCGGATGTGCCTATCGCACGGTAAGTCGTTACGCTGCCGAAGTCCTGCTGGGCATGCACCCAAACCTTCCAATATCCCTTGCATAAACATACCTTAATCTATAGCACGTTCCTTAATACGATATCCTGTATGTTCCTTAGTCAAGAGCTTTGGGAAGGTCTGGGTAAGGTAAGGCTCAGGCTCAGAATACCCTAAACCCTAAACAGGGTTGCAGAAGCTTGGGCGCGGCTCATGGGAAACTGATGTCGGCCAAAGGTTCGACTTCTGTCTGCTACTTGGAGGTTCATGCGACTTAATAAAGTAGGTTCCTTTTTGGGCTCCTTCAAGGGTTCTACAGGGCATAGGGTTCAGAGGCTACTTGGAGGCTCGTGGGACTTAGAAAGGAATAACTATATGGTTACCTTATTTTTAACCCTGGTTACTTGGTCCCATGATCCTCTAAGTAAGGTGTATTGAAATCGAGTTGCAGCAAGCCGGCAGAACCCCTCATTCAAACCGTGTCACTCCAAATGCCCCACCACAAACCCTAAACCCTGAACCCTATCGCCTCCCCTCAAAGCGCCAAAGAGTCGAATTTGAATCGCATTGCTTTCCATTATGGGAGTTATCGAAAATGCCGCGCTTCTTCTTTGGCAGTCCTTGCAATACAGATCCTACTGTTTGGGATACAAAATTAGTCTCCCCCACTTTCGGCAACTCCCATATGTGAAATCGTATCCATATCCACCGACTTTCCATGGCTGACAATGGCTGCCCCCAGCCCTGCCTCTCTCGGAATCGGATCGTATGAAATCGTATCCAAAGTCGCATCCAACTCGCATCCCCCAAATCCAGCCAGAAGAATTCGCTACTTGCGACTTCGAAACAAGTTCAGCCCGAAGCCGTGACGAACATGGTATCCAATTCGTATCCCTGGAACCCAGCCCCAGCATTGGCAATTCGATATGATTTGAGGGGTTTAGGGTTCTTGGTAAACACAGAGACGAGACCTTCTCCGTACAGAATAGGGTTCCTCCTAAAGGGATCTACAAGAGTTTCTACAAGGGTTACTTGAAGGGTTTAGGACAATCCGAATTAGGTTCTGAGGCATAAAATACTATACTTGCAATAAGGAACCCCAGAATAGTACTGATGTTTTTTTGGCCCTCTATTGGGGATTTGTAAGCAAAAACGTCTTCAAGATCCTGGCGTGAGATTCGAGATGTGCTCGCGACTCTTGCCCACGGGTTCACGGCGTTGCAGTGTCGGGGGCTCACCTCCACCTGCAACAACAACATTGACAAACCTTCCGCCGAATGCTTTCTTTGTTGTCTAAGCGATGTGGAATATGGGAGTTTCCGAGAATAGGGGACCCTAATATAGTACCCTAAATCAAGGACCTCAAAACAAGGTACCCCTTATTTTCGGAAACTCCCATATCACTGGCTCGAGCTTGAAGGTTCGATCCCCGAAGAATAATGATCCCAACCCGATCCGACGCTTGCGCCTCCTCCAAGCTGTCTGAAGCAGAGCCTGCGAGCGTAACTCTTGTGTAAACAGTTCTGGTTTTGTAAGGGAAGAAGCTTTGGAGGTGGTGAGGTGCAGCTACTGGCTGCCCAGGTCAGTCACAATGATGCTGATCTCCTTATACTGCAGTGCAGGGCATCAAGTTGGCTTCGACAAGCTTGCAAGCGACAGGACCACAGGGCCATCACCGATCAAATCGAGACTACGAGCGCGACATCTATAAACACAGCCGACAACGAGTTGGGGCTTTCAGAGGGTAAGTCTTCCACGTAAATACCAAGCCCAGGAAAAACCAAGAGTCTTAATACCAAGCTGAGACCCCTCCACTCTGCAACACCTGGCTTCACGCTTCCGTATTCTTGGCGTAGGGCTTAGGCTTTCCGGCTGTAGGGTTCAGGGTCGTTTTCTTCAATAGCAAAGCGACTTGCACGTCCTGGCCTAAAAACTGCAAGAATCGAGAGAAGCTTTCTACACTGACGGACGAACCGTGCTCCGTAGGGTTCCGCATAATATACCGCAAAACCGTATTCTGGTTAATAATACTAAACACCCATAGTGCCCCTTGTGGTGTATAGTGTACAATCCTTATTTGAATACCTTTGGGGCCCTTGCAAGGAACCCTCTTCTGACTTGGGTACTGCCTCCACCCTGTAACAGTCTACATTATGGTCATAATAAGGGCTGTGCAAACTCTGTTGTAAATATCATCCAACCGTCAAAGATTGCGGGCAGCACCCAAAATCTAACTATCAAGTCCCCGACACAAAATACCCAAAATGCCGCTTTGGTTTATAATTCTTAGATGAGGGCCCTGTAAAGGACCTCTTCAAATCTTCAGGCCACATGAACACTCAACCCTAAGACCTAAACTCCTAAGCCCTAAATACCTAAACCCTGAACCCCCAAGCTCTATAAACTCTTATAAGCCCTGAATTCTAAACCCCAAACCCCTAAACCCCTGCAAACTCGCAACTCCAAACCCCAAACCCCTGCATAAAACCCCTGCCAAAAAGACTTTATTTGGGTGGTTGTCAAAATTGTGCCCCCACCCTTTTGGGAACCCTAATTTTTTAGGTGCCCTATTATATTATGGACCCAAAAGGGACCCCAATTGTGAGAACCACCCATTTGGGGGTTTCCGCAAACAGGGGACTGTACAGTACCCCAAAATAGTAGGATCCTGATTATAAGGACCCCAAAATAAGGTACCCCTAATTTTCGGAAACTCCCATTCGAAGCTCTCGACACTCGGCTCTGTCTCTCGGCTTTCCCCGGCAAGTCGGCAAAAACCTATTCCTTAGGCTTTAAGGTTTAAGGGTTTAAAGGTTTAGGGGTTTAGGGTTTTCCTAAAGAATAGTCAGCAACAACCTATTAAACGTTCTTTTGAAGGGTTCCTTAGGTTTAAGAGTTTAAGGTGTTAAAGGTTTCGGGCCAGGGTTGAGGGTTGAGGGTTCCTTTAGAATAGCATGATAACATTAGGTGGGTATCTTTCAAGCAGACTAGTGTGTTCTATTCAGACAAAAAGGGAACAGTGTTACTACGGTTGATGATATAAATCCTGCATGACCCGAAATAAGAATATACCATAATTTCCGTAGTTTAGGGACCTTAAGGTAATGCAGGATTTATATCATCAACCGTAAGACCTCTAAGTCCAAGTATCTTCGGCCCCTGGCTCAAGAACCGTTACCTGTGATAGGAGCCCTGAAGACCATCGCAGATCCTGGCCGTCCTCACCATTGAGGGTGTAGAGTTTAGGGCTTCCAGCCAGAACTTCAGCCAGTCACCATTGAGACGGAGTAGCCGAATCACTGTCGGCTTCTCCGTGGGGGGCGAGGCTTGTCGAGCCCGTCAACGACGGTCCTTCGAGATACTTCCTGGGCTTTGAAGCAACCAGGGAGAAAACACTGATAAACGTTGATTTCATACTGGTTCCTTTCAGGAGCAAACCACCACAAAACAGTAACCCTAAACCCTAAACCCTAATCCCTAAACCTAAAACTCTAAACCCTAAACCCTAAGCCCTAAACCCTAAACCCTAAACCCTAAACGTATTAAAGAATGGTCCCGCAGTATCCAGCTTCAGGAAGAAGCTCAGGATGAATCGGACTGCACCAGCATCCTTGGGCTCACTTCGGCGGATGATATAAATCCTGCATTACTTTAGGGTTTAGGGTTTAGGGTTTAGGGTTTTGCATTACCTTAAGGACCCTAAACTATGGGAATTATGGTATATTCCTGATAATGGGTAATGCAGGATTTATATCAGCAACAGTTGCTAAAGCTGGTTCGTGGTATAAGTAGGGTTAGGGTTTAGAGTTCAGGATATTGGGTTTAGGGTCTGTAGGGTTTAGAAAAGAAAATCCTGACGACACTCAGTCGGATGCCATATGTAAGCAAGATGAGAGTATACGAGCCCGAAGGATTCTGTAAGTACTTTTTTCCCAGATCATAATAATCATTCCGAATGTAGGAGCCCTACAATCTGCCATGCGGGAGTTTCCGAACAGTGGGGAACCTAGTTTAGTGCAATACATGGTAGGATCCTTATTCTAAGGGCCCCAAGAAAAGTTACCCTTAATTTTCGGAAACATGGGAACTTAGGACCCTCTACGGAGCGACTCAGTAAGGGAGCCACTGACCGAGCAGGAGTGAAAGTGCGGCGAAGGGACAACGAACAGAACGTTTAGGGTTTCGGGTTTAGGGCACTGACACGAAGAAGCACTGCTACATTTTCTGAGCATAGCTACTCTCTTCCCGACTCATGCGGTCTTGGAATAGTTAAACCTCCGAAACCAACCCCTTCATTCTTTTTTTACCCTGAGCCCTAGACCGCCTCATACAACTCTTATACAGCCCATCTAGGAGCCCTTCTAGAACCCTTAGCGAGCCCCATAAAGAAGCCGTCTGCAGCTGCAGCTCGTGTGCTCACTGCCCATCCATTGCTTCCACAACGAGCCCGCCGTGCCTCAGAGAGGTCCTAGAACCTCAAGGACGACATGAACCCAAAAAGGGTCTAAGGCTCATATGCCGTATAGGGATCCATAGTATATGGGTATGGGGCCCCTACTTCTAAGGGTCATTTGGTCCTAGAAGTCTAGAAGATTCGAACTGAATTGAAGTTTCGGGGCCCCTTAAAGTGACACAGGCGCCTTAATAGTCAGAAAAGGATTTCGGGGCCCATTGTATTATAATAAGTAGAATGAGGAACCCCCCCCCACAAAAAAAAAAAAATATACCCCAACCTCTACTATACACCCTGAACCCTGTGCCACCCGCATGCCGTGACCGGCAGCGCAAACTTGCATCCCAGGCACCGTCGCCCTCATCGATGTTCGAGACTCTTTCCTGTGCTCTTGCCAGAGCTTAATGTAAGAGCCTTCATAATTAGAATAGGGTTTTTGGGTCCAGCATACCATTAAATATGAGAAGGACCCCCTCAAATGAAAACACTGAGTTGGTTGTTTGCTTTTAATTTGGCCCCTATATTGGAGTTTATTGCTTCGGATTGGGGATTTTGCAGAAGCCAGATAGCAAGCATCTTGCTTGTTGTATATCCCGCATTTCCCGGGTTCTCGGGAACTTGATTCAACATGCCAACTGCTTTGTGTTTTTTGTATACATCTCTCTCTCTCTCGCTCTCTCTCTCTCTCTCTCGCTTTTGTTCGGTACCTTACATGAAGCACCTCAACAAGTGCCCAGCTTCGCCCGGCTTCACGTCCGGAATAAGTGCGACAAGGGCCACGACGCTGATCAACGGGAGCAGACCTTAGGTCTCCAAGGGTTTCGGGCGGCTTTAGGGTTTAGGGCGGCTTTAGGGTTTAGGGCGGCTCTAGGGCTTAGGGCTTAGGGTTTAGTTTAGGGTTTAGGGTTTAGGGTATAGGGTTAAGGGTTAAGGGGTTTAGGGCGGCTTTAGGGTTTAGGGCTTTAGGGGTTTAGGGTTTAGGGCTTTAGGGTTTAGGGGTTTCGGGTTTAGGGTATAGGGCTTTTTTAGGAGCTCCTCTGAGCTCTATGAAGAAGGGCTTTGGGGTTCTACGAGGGCTTTCTTTCCTGTAAGGGCTCTGAACTAAAAGCTTTGAAAAGGGCGGTCTTTCCGCCCCCCATACAGCAACAGTCTATAGTACGGCTACCATTAAGGGCCATATTTATCTCTATCATGAACATTATTCAGCCGTTACTGGGTGGTTGCAATTCCTAAGCTGCAAGTGCTCTGAAAGGGTTGTGCAAGGTCCCTCGAATTAGGATTCTGCAAGAACCAGCCATGAACACGCACGTCGACATGTGCCTTCTGGCTCCAAAGACGCCGAAATATACCATAGAGGTTGCCAAGAAAGTAGGTCTTCTCGGCTACGAGTAGGGTTTAGGATTTAGGGCTTAGGCTCAACAGTGAAGCTCAAGAGCATTGCCGTCAGCCCTAGGATTCGGTGCTCTGATTTGGGGGCATGAACGTTGACCTCCCCACAAAGCCAAATACCCCTTGATTAAGCAATATGCCTTAATTTATAAGGGTCTGCATACTATCATTTCAGCTACAGTCCTTAATCAAGGGGTATTGGGCTCTCTGGGTCATGGGGTATTGGGCTCTCTTTGTCATGTTGTGGTCCAGAGCTCAAAGAAGCTCTTTGCAGAAATGAGGGTTAGTGTAAGGGGTAACTGTAAGGGTGCTATAAGGGTACTAGACGGATGACTGGGCCGGAGATGGTCTCGCACTGACTACAGCTTACTATAGGGGCCTTAATAATTAGAATAAGGTTTTGGGGCCCATTATACTATAATTAGAGCAGGGAACCATAGGGACCTATATGAGGGACTTTATGCAGGGTTCAGTCCTTCTGTTCAAGGCTGAGGTGCGTCAGGGAAGAGGTCAAGGACCTCTGGAAGAGGGGTTGCGAGCAGAACAGTCTATGGACCTTAACCAGAAGAGTAGGGGTTTGGAGGGCATATTATACCAAAACTATCATAAGCTTATAAGGAACCATGTTGGTAATCATTCAGGCTTCTACAGTAGACCCCAGGTGTCCTTGAGCCCAAACCTGGACTTGAAACCACGGACCACAACTCGTCCACATGCGTCAGCAGACTACAAGCGTCCAAACCCTACTTAAAGGCTCATGGGACTTAGTAAGTAAGGTTATAAGTAGGATAAGTAGGGTTTAATTGGGATAACCCCACTTAGGGGACTTATAACCCCAATTATAACCTACTTACTAAGTCCCATGATCCTCTAAGTAGAACATCCCGGATCCACCCTAGACCCCAAACCCTAAACCCTTTAACCACCACAGCTCAAGCAGCTCGCGATAGCGGAGGCCAGCCAAAGGCTGTCGAATTCCGCACTCTCGGCCAATTGCCCGCGCGGATTACAGCCGAGGCGTTCCAGGAGCAAGGCCTCCCCAAGAAGATGTAGCACATGAGGGCTGTTCGGCTTGCAGAGTGCGGGTTTTGAAATGAGATGTGGCTAGAATGATTAACCCAAAGGGTCCAAGTAATGGTATAGCATATACTTTTGGGGCCCAAATACCTACAATGATGGTACTTGGACCCTTTGGGTAATTAACATTATTGGCTTACTTGGAGGGTCGGGGGACTTAGTAAGTAGGTAGTAAGTAGACTTATAAGTACCCTAAACGGGACCCTAATTGGGGTTATGGTACTTATACGTCCTTATAATAGCCAGTTACTAAGTCCCCCGACCCTCCTAGTAGGGTGTCGGACTTTCGAGTTGAGCGTGTCGGACATGCGCTACACTTGGAGGGATATGCAGGTCCAAACATCACCGCAAGAATACATGTGGGTAGTTCTCTAAACTAGGGTCCCTTTGCGGGTCTTTTTTTTTACCAGGGTTGCATACTATTTTGGGGACTTGAACAGGGACCCTACGGACCCTACTTTGGGGAACTACCCATGTAGCAAGACCCCTAAACCCTAAACCCCTAAACCCTAAACCCTTAGCCTTCAACCCCTAAACTGCTGAACCCCTGAACGTTTAGGGTTAAGGCAAGGGTTTTAAAACTGCAAGATTGTCTAATGTAGGGCCTATAAAGGGGTTACTATCATGGCGACTATAAGGGTTGTATAACGTAGGGGCCTTAATGATGAATTATATGACACTCTATGTGCTAGGATTTTATTAAGGCATCCCCAAAATAGTATAGGTAGTCATTAAGGCCCTTACATTAAACCTTGAAGCATAAAGGTAACCTCATCCTCCGCCGGTAGCGATTCCTGGTTGCAGCGTTGCTCATTGACAAGAACGTACTTTCATCAATCGCTGCAATTGCGGATGTCTAGACTCGATATACCCCTCTCCCCAGGCGAGCATTCCGAAAGTGTCCTAAATACCTATATGGGGGATGCTTGCCCAAACCCTACTAGTAATTCCTGTTATAGAAACCCTACATTCTACCATATAGGTACTGAAGACTATTTGGGCATGCGGCATACCCTAAACCCTAAACCTTCAGCATTGGCACGGAGAACAGCCGGAAACGACCCCCGGGACGCAACGTGGGCACTTCTCTCCTGGGTTCTTGTCAAGGAATTTAATTTAAACTACCATAATAGAGAGCTATGGCAAATAATGTGGTTTCTTAATTATGGTAACTTAAACCTCAAACCCTATATACCCTTCAAGGAACCCTGATAAGTCCCTTAAAGGAACCCTTTTTAAAGTCTTATATATCCCATTCTGGAAGCCTGAAGTAAATTCCTTAACAACAATCCAGTCTCTGCTGCCCAAGAGGCCCCGCAGGAGTTGGCAACTGCAACCTGAACAAAAACTTTGGGGTTTAAGGGTTTAGGGTTTAGGGGTTTAGGGTTTAGGGGTTTTGGGGGGTTAGGGGTTTTAAGGTTTAGGGGTTTAGGCGCTTTACGGGTTTAGGTTGAGGGGTTTATGGGTTTAGGGATTGAGGGTTTAGGGACGGGTGGCTTGTTCATCGGTAAAGGCTGCTTCATTTCGATGCTTGGGTTGGTAAGGGGGACGATTCTGCAGAGCGTAGTCGCTGTATATACTATACACACAGATGAACCCTGTGGTGTGTTGCAGAATCGCGCGTGCCTTTGAGCGATATTCCCGTACCCGAAAGCTATAGGAGCCTTACAGTCAGCTTAATAAAACCCAATATAGTGCCCTTAAAGCAACCCTACAGAGAACACTTGGCAGTTGCCCCTCTTCCTATTTTCACTTCTGAAATTGAAAAAAGAATCCATAAACACCAGAGGCTCGCAGCCTGCTTCTGACTTTTCGAAGGCAACGTCTGCTACACTTCATGCAGCTGATCCTTTACCGCGCAGCTGTCACCATCACGGTCGGCATCACCCCAGGTCACGACAGATCCATCGCCCGGGATTGCAGCAAAGGCACCAGCAGAAGCTTGGATCTGCTGCACATCGCGCAGCTGCTCCTGTGCCGCGCTGCTGTCACCACCAAGGTCGGCAACCCCAGGTGACCACAGATCCATCACCCAGGATTGCAGCAAAGGCACCAACAGAAGCTTGGATCTGCTGCACATCTCGCAGCTGCTCCTGTACGGCACTGCTGTCACCACCAAAGTCGGGCCTACCCCAGGTGACCACAGATCCATCACCCAGGATTGCAGCAAAGGCATTGTTAGAAGCTTGGATCTGCTGCACATCGCGCAGCTGATCCTGTACCGCACTGCTGTCACCACCGGAGTCCCCACCCCAGGTGACCACAGATCCATCACCCAGGATTGCAGCAAAGGCCTTGTTAGAAGCTTGGATCTGCTGCACATCTCGCAGCTGTTCCTGTACTGCACTGCTGTCGCCACCATAGCCGGCCTCACCCCAAGTGACCACAGATCCATCACCCAGGATTGCAGCAAAGGCACCACGAGAAGCTTGGATCTGCCGCACATCTCGCAGCTGCTCCTGTACCGCGCTGCTGTCGCCACCATAGCCGGCTCTGCCCCAGGTGACCACAGATCCAGCACCCAGGATTGCAGCAAAGGCACCAGCAGAAGCTTGGATGTGCTGCACATCACGCAACTGCTCCTGCACTGCACTGCTGTCGCCACCATAGCCGGACCCACCCCAGGTGACCACAGATCCATCACCCAGGATTGCAGCCAAGGCACCAACAGAAGCTTGGATCTGCTGCACATCTCGCAGCTGCTCCTGTGCCGCACTGCTGTCACCACCATAGCCGGCCCCACCCCAGGTGACCACAGATCCATCGCCCAGGATTGCAGCAAAGGCACCAACAGAAGCTTGGATCTGCTGCACGTCTCGCTGCTGTTCCTGTACCGCACTGCTGTCGCCACCATAGCCGGCCCCACCCCAGGTGACCACAGATCCATCACCCAGGATTGCAGCAAATGCACCAAGAGAAGCTTGGATCTGCCGCACATCTCGCAGCTGCTCCTGTACCGCACTGCTGTCGCCACCATAGCCGGCTCTGCCCCAGGTGACCACAGATCCATCACCCAGGATTGCAGCAAAGGCACCAGCAGAAGCTTGGATGTGCTGCACATCACGCAACTGCTCCTGTACTGCACTGCTGTCGCCACCATGGTCGTCCCCACCCCAAGTGGCCACAGATCCATCACTCAGAAGTGCGGCGAACGCAGAGCACACACCGCCTGGACGGGTAGCGTTAAGCTGCACTTGGTTCATGTGTAGGGTGAGCACGTCTCCGCTCGTCAACCTGGCTTCTGCTATAGTTTGTGCTCCGTCCAGCACCTCTCCAGAAGCATTCAGCAGCCGCCCTCTACCCCTGACCGCCAGAGCACTTTCGGCGCGGTGCTTCAATGACTCAACAGATGCATCCACCTCCACTTCCATAGAGGCACACTTGCCACTCAGCAAATGCACATCCACGAAAAACGACATGATGATTCGTAGAGTGGTCGCTTGACGCAATAACCTGAGACTACAGCTTATTGGACCATGTGTTTGTACTTCCATTAAATCCCATGACCTGTGCAGCCGCGGCCACATCGAGCCCTAACGTCCAGAGCCCGAACTCACCGGCTGTTCAAATCTCAATCCCAACAGCACGCTTCACCGAATAGAAAAGGTCTAAATGGTTTTGGAGGTTTGGGGCTTAGAGTCCGATTAAATTAAAAGAATACTGCCCTTGAAGGAACTCAACATGGAAACCTAGAAGAAACCCAATATAGAAACCTCAAAGGAACGCTATGCTACAATAAATATTGACATCCCCGAAACCTTAAAATCTTAAAGGAACCCTATTCTACAGTAAGTATTAAAGTCCCAGAAGCGCCGAGGTTGTGGCAGGCGACGATCAAAGCAAACATGGTGGCCTTGTGCAGAACTTCGGGCTTTGGTTTAGGGTTTAGGGTTTGGGGTGTGTAACAGGCGGGGTTTAGGGTTTTGGATGTGCAACAGGCGAGTGCGCTTCTTTAGGAAGGGGGGCGCGCTCACGTATCCCGCGCTTGCGTCAGCATGTAGTCCCGCCCCAACCACCCCAACTACTCTCAATTATAGGGCTTAGGGGTCACCCCCCGAACCCCGCTCAACGGGGGCTTTTTTGCTCTCCGCTTCCCTTCGCAGATCGACACATAAACGACCACATTTCACAGCAAACCACAGCTGAGATGGATTGGTGTCGGGTTGTACGTCCTCGCGGTGCCGGCCGCTCTGCACAAAAGCAAGGGTTTCCCCTCACAACCCGCTCGAAGTGTTATCGCCCATCCTGGCAAGGAGGGTCGCTCCTAAAGCCTGCCAAAAGGCCTCTGGAGGTTGCAATAGGAGGGCCCGGGAACCCTCCCTTGAAGTTGGGTTCGGCAATTTTAAACTGTTGGATATGGGCAGATCGCACAGCCGCTTCGGAGGCCCGGCCGTTTTTCCGGACATTCGGCAGGTTTCTAGGGACCCTGGAATCGGATCCCCCGCCCCAGACCTCCGAGGCCAAACCAAAGCCGCATCAATGGTTGTGGGTTTGGGGTCCATCTTTACTGCCTAACAGCAGAGAGGTCATGAGAGGGGCGGCGGTCACGACAGTCCTCATACAGGTTTTACCCTCCCTCACCGTTCTGACGGGACGCTCGGCCGGGAGCCTCGGTCGGAGCCTCCAGCTCCCATGTAAATGGTCAGCGGTGCTCTCGGCAGTTTAAGGTTTAGCTAATATAGGGACGTTAGCAACTTGACAAGGGCTCCTTTCAGGGTGCTATAAGGGTTAGTATAAACTCTATAGTATAGGGGCCTGGATAACACCATAAATACGTTACATTTATAGTAGTGATTCAGGCTCCTATGCTTCGTCAAAGCGCGGCCCGTCTCTTCCAGTGACCCCATAGCCCAGGAATCTCAAACCACTGAGGATCTTCATTTGCCATATTGCTACTGATTGTTACTACTAGTTCATGTAACTACTCCTGTTGATTGTAGAAGTGGCTACAAGCACCTGTATTGCCCTCCTGACTCCCTGCACCGAGATGATGATCACAATGCCCCAATCATAGGAGCAACCCTCAATAGCAGCCGTTGGTCTTACTACTAACTCGCGATTGCTGCTGTTACTTCCGAGCAGAATGTCCAAGGGTAACAGGAGGGACCCTTAATAAGGACCCCTAGGTATATACCCTTTATATAGCTAATATGTACCCATTATATAGCCCAATACAGGGTAGGGGTTCCCATTAAGGGTTCCCTCCTTTTCCCCTTTGAGAATGATGCCTTGACTCGTCTCTAACGGACATAATCGGAAGCGACCCCGATCCCAACCACTACGCCGCTACACCCCAATCCAAACCTGAAACCCCCACGCCATAAACCCCTAAACCGATAAACTCCTACACCCTAAAACCCACGCCCCAAACCCTGAAACTCGAAACACCAAACCTAAAAACAAAACTACATCCTAGACCCTTAAACCTGAACACTAAACCCTTAAACCTGACGCCCCCATACCACCCAAAGAGCCTCGATGCCCTTGGGGCAAAGTTGTGAAAACAGGCCGACCTGGGGCATCCAAAGCCACCTAGCAGAGAGAGCTCTGGGGTTCTAGGGTTTGGGTTTGTTCAGGGTTTACTTGGAGGGTCGGGGGACTTAGTAAGTGGATATTTTAGGGACTTATAAGCACCATAACCCCAATCAGGGTCCCTTTTAGGATACTTATTTTAAGTCTGCTTACTACCTACTTACTAGTGTCCCCCGACCCTCGAAGTAGGGTTTTAAGGTGTGGGTTTCTTAGAAGGCCCTCAACCCATAGACCCTAAGCTACCATTAGGGCCTTCACTTGGAGAATAGAGATTTGGCCTATGGAGAGAGAGAGGTCTGAGAAGGCATAACAATAGTCATATATCTCCGCTGACAGCTTCGTAGGCTTTGTCAAATTCTACACAGTAGGATCCTGATTTTCAGGGCCCCGAAATAAGGTACCCCTAATTTTCCCCCATTCAAGACCCTAAGCCCTAGCCTCTAAATTGGATCTTTCGTATTCGCTGTTGGCTTTCTAGGACTGATACTTTCAGGTGTGGGACTGCAGGAGACCACCGTCCATGACTTTCCTGGGTATGAGGAGTTAAGGATGTAGGGTTTAGGGTTTAGAGGGCTTAGGATTTAGGGCTTAGGGGTTGAAAGGGTTTAGGGGTTTAGGATGTAAGGTTCAATTTAAAAACAACATACCATATTATTCGGTAGTCCTCTAGGGTCTGGGTTCGGGCATGATCCACGCCGGCCGTTTTCTCTACCCCAATTATATAAACCCTAAAAGCCCTAAATCCTGCAGTTTAGGGTTTAGGGTTGCCAAGAAGATGTGGGACCTTTTTCTTGAAACTGCTGTGCATCGAGCTCCATGTTGTAAGTAGGGAAATGGGCAAGGAAGTAGCACTGTGATGGCACATGCAGACATCCAGCACACTATGATGGGAGAAGATCTCGTCTACTGCCAATTCAACTTAAGCGTAGGCCCTAAACCCCCAACACCGAAATCCCACATGCTTTACACCGACACCCCATTTAAATGCCAAAACCCTTGAGCCTGCACCCTAATCCCTAAACCCTAAACCACAAAAAAACCCTAATTCTGCGCTTTCAGGAGTTTTTTCGAGACCAGGCGCTGGTACACCACCGGTCCGAGCGACCTGGGATGAAGGAACCCACAGTCCCAGAGCCTTTCTAGGAAGGCAGGGTTTAGGCTTTAGGATTTAGAGTTCGTGGTGACCTTGTCAGGAACTCTCTGCGGACAGCTTCCCAGAGACTCCAATATCTTTTAATTAAGGAATATACCTTAAATTAGAGTAGGATCCCTAATATGATTTAAGGAATATTCCTTAATTAAGGGATATTGGAGTCTCTAGGTTCGTCGAGTGGAATCTTGTGTATTCGGACCGGTCCCAAGGGTTACTGTAATACTTACAGTAGAAGCCAGAAAGTTGGAATATCATTATCGTAACCCCTTTAAGGTAAGGTATAGGGGATCCTACCATTAATCCATATTCCAACTTTCTGGAGTTCCCTTTGCGGGCTAGTAATCAGAAAGGTACCATGAGGGGTTTACACCAAACAGCCACAGCAGAAGTCTAAGCTTATACTTTCAAACTTACAACTTAAATATGTATATAATTAATAACCCAAAAGCTTAAAAGGATGCGACCTAAGAGAAGGGTTGCTGCAAGGGCTGTATGCTTCAACTAGTTGTGTGAACCGTCAGAGCACTTCCTGCTACGCAGTCGAGACCGTGTGAGCGCAACTGCGTGGACGAAGTCAGGATGAAATAGGGGCCTAAAGAATTACAATATGGTCTAGAGGTATGCTACACCAAAACCCCTAAACCTTGACCCCCTAAAACTGCTATCCCTAAAGTTATTATTGCCCCCTGGAAGAGTTTAGGCATGTAGTCTTGAAACTCATGTGAGGGTGAAGGAGCAATTGATTCTTCTCGCCGGTGTAGTGTGGGCAGAACTAACCTACTTGTCCAGTGTCCAGAGGGGAGATCGTAGTTGATCTTCGGGTCTATGTCAGGATGTCATTTTCCTTAAAGGATCAAATGATGCATACTCCACTTCTAACACGGTTTCTCGAACTCCCGAGGCAGAATCGTACTAGACTGCCTTCAGACGGGGTAGGCTGAACAGCAAAACACCCTAAGGCCCTAAACCTCAAACTAGATTCTGGATTCAGAACTAGTATAGGAGCCCAAACAACTGGAAGAAGGTTTTGTGGTATACTAAACTGCAAGCCTACGGATAGTATGGGTAATTATCCAGGCCCTTACTACACAAAGTTGAAAATTTGGAAAGGCTGCTGATTGCCAAAAGCGAAGGCCATGTCCGGGATGCCTGAGTGCGTTGACAACTGCAGTATAGGAGCCTGAATGAGCTATAACACTGCGTGTTCCCTGACAGTATGTTCAAACATACATATATTCGCACACACACACACACATATATATATATAGAGAGAGAGAGAGAGTGTGTGTGTATATATACATACATATATATATATATACACATAAAGAGAGTACATATTAATGTGATTTATGCATACGGACCTTTTTCTGCACGCCTCGAAGCCATGTTCTATTTATGCAAGCCGATTTGTGAGTGCCAGCTTTAGCCCATGAGCCTGAAAGTGCGGACCCTGAAATGACCAGCAGCCGTGTAAAGTGAGTGTCTGATGTGGCTATAAGCCCTGAACCGCGGTTTAGAGTTTAGGGTTTAGGGTTTAGGGTTTAGGGTTTAGGGCCTGAACCCCAAACCCCTAAACCTTAAACCCTAACCTGCTGAGAGTCTAGGCCGACCTCTCTTCGCGAAGTGAGGTTCGAGATTGAGTGTATGTCAAGGTGTCTGAGGCCTATGGGTTCTTGAGATCTGGATAACGTCTGAAGCAACTCCGATATGCGGGGGGCCTGGATTATCACCACCATTATTCCCTAGACGCGTCAACACAACTATGCTCCATCATAACCCAAAATCCCATGTGAGGTATTCAGGGAACCCTCTATAGCACTACTTGGAGGATCGTGGGACTTAGTACTTAGTAAGGGAGGTTACATAAGCAATTACCTCAATTGGGGTTTTGGTTAATTAGTTAGAACTATAGTTACCTTATTTAGAAGGCTAGTTACGAAGTCCCATGATCCTCTCTATACTGAACTTAGAACCCTAGCAAAAATTACAATTTTAGCTGTTTCTTAGGGAACCAAAAATTAAAAAGTATTTCTAAGTACCCCTAAGCTCTAAGTAACGACCTTACACAAGGTTTTCAGGCCGGAGTTTATCCTTGGACTGCCGAGCGGCCTAACGCCAGGTTGAGGCGTGAAAAGAGAAGACTGTCAGCAAGGTGTAGAACCTGGGAGTTTCCGAAAATAGGGGGGGAACCTGGGAGTTTCCGAAAATAGGGGGAGAACCTGGGAGTTTCCGAAAATAGGGGAGAACCTGGGAGTTTCCGAAAATAGGGGGGGAACCTGGGAGTTTCCAAAAATAGGGGGTCCCTTATTTTTAGGGTTCCTTTAAAGGGTTCCTTAGGGAGTTTCCTAAAATAGGGGGTCCCTTATTTTTAGGGTTCCTTTAAAGGGTTCCTAAAAGGGATCTATAAGGCTTCTATAAAGGGGTTTAAGGCTTGGAGTTTCCGAAAATTAGGGATACCTCATTTGGGGGTCCTTAATATATTAGGGTGCCCTATTTTCGGAAACCCCCACCTTGTTCGAAGAGTTTTGGGTTGAAGGGTTTAGGGTTCTGGGTACCATGTTCGAAGGGTTTAGGGTTTAGGGCTTCAGGGTTTAGGAACAAGAAGTGCTTTGATGCTACGCCGTCACCTTGTGTGACATTGCGCTCCTCCCGGCACCTAATGTGACGGCGACGTTAATTACTTCCGCTAGGGTGATTACCGTGATGACGACTGCGACTATCAACGTTTCACAACCAAAACACCATCAGCATGTACAAGACTCATCTTAACACTCCCAAATGGAATCAGTTCTTCAGCGACTGCGTCATAGAGACCCTTAGGGGGGTAGGGGAGGGGGGGTAGAGGGCCTTAATGACCTCGCGAAATCCAGCTCGATCAGGCTGTGGACCACGGTTTCTAGGTTTTGGCCTAGAGCCTCGGAGAGCTTAGGAGTTTAGGGTTTAGTGCAATTACGGGCCTTAATAAGTAGAACGAGGTTTTGGGGGTTCCTTACTACAGTTGTAGTACAGTATACCTCCCCAAAACCCTATCCTAATTACTAAGGCCCTACATTAGGGTCATGGGCTCCTAAACCGACAGCCCTTAGGTGCATTGCGAGATCTGGGGGTTGAACGGAGCTCCATTTCGTAGCTTTAAAGACGAACGCCTGAGCCAACATCACATGAAGCAGCCATGAAGTATGGCATCTATGTATGACTTTATTGTACAACAAAATAGATTACAGTCTTTACGTAGCAATGCATCAAATACCGCACAGTTTTTGTAAAGTTTATACTACTGTTGATGGACAAAATCCTGCATGACCCGAAGGACTCTAAACTATGGGAACTATGGTATATTCCTTATAATGGGTAATGCAGGATTTTGCCCATCAGCAGTATGTAAGCAGGTTCTTTAGAACTCAAAGATCCCTACACCCTAAACCCTAAACCCTAAACCCTAAACCCTAAACCCTAACCGTGGAGCGATCTGCCGGCGAAAGCCTTGCTCTGAAACTCGACGCTTAAGAGCCCAAAGGGTCTGAAGTACCGAAAACAGAGGTCCCTTAAGGGTACCATCAGGGGTTCCTTTCGGGATCCATAAGGGTTCTATACCGCAGTAACTCTATGGAATTACGATTATGGTTTGGGCAAGTATCGCCCATGTAGGTACTGAGGGCCCTATGAGCAGCTGGGAGAGACGAGGGGCCGAAAAGGTAATCTGGGGGCCTTCATAATTGGAATACGGTTTTGAGGGTGTAGTTTTCGAAAACTATATGGTAAGGAACTCCAGAATAGTATTGGTAGTTGTTCAAGCCCCTATGTTTCTGCTCTAGACCACAAGCCCTAAGCCCGAAGCACTGAACCCGTAGGACGGGTGGCCGAGAAGGTAATGTTGGAGACCAGCAGCAGCGTTCGGTACGAGAAATACCTTGCTGAACACAGTCACAGCGTGGGCTGTAATCACCAAAGTCCTCTAAGACTGCGAATGGGGTTCCTAAAGCGGTTTCCTTGTTGAAACAGGTCTGTAAGGTCACTAATTATAGCGGGTACTGCAGGGGGTTAGTAACGGTTCCTCAATAATTCGAACGGGCTGTTGGGTGCATATGGGAATTTCCGAAAATCAGGGGTACCCTATTTTGGGGTCCTTATAGCAAGGATCCTATTATTTGGGGTACCATATGAGGGTCCCCTACTGTATTTTCGGAAACTCCCATGCAGGGACTGTAAGGGTTCCTTATCTGCTAAATAGAAATTCTGACCCCGACAGCTCGTTGTAGCGAAGCATATCTAGAGCCCTCAAACCTAAAACCCGGAAAAACTCGACTGAAAGCCACTCTACCCATAGGCTCCATAGTAGTTCCTTATTTGGGGATATACACTACAAAATGGAACCAAAATAGAGCCTATTTCCAAACCAGAAACCTATGCAACGTTCTGGTGAGGTTCACTACAAGTCTGCGAACCCGGAACCTCTGAAAGCCTGACTTTCTTTTCCCCCAAGCACAGCCCCTAATTATAGGAACGCCAGAAGGAAGCCTTATAGGCATCCAAATAGTAACTCTGAACCCTTAGACCCTAAGCCGTAAGCTCAGACCTATGAACACCCCCACCCAGACGACCCCCGCAGTTGGCGAGCAGCGCGCTGAGGCGGTTGTAGGAGTAGAGCCCCAAGAGGGTCGCCAGACTCCCCACGGAACCGAGGCAGGTATTGTAGAACACCTGCACATTGAGCTTCAGGACTGTTGGTCCTACTGGCGACATTCGCATGAAGAGTGAGAGCAGCGGGTACGGGTAATACAGGGGGCGCCTTAACAGTTAGAATAGTGGTTTCTGGTATTTTCCTGTGTAGTTAGACCCAAGAGTAACCCAGGCATAAAAAGGATGCCCTTTTTGGCTTAAAGGGGTTTATAAGGGAGCCTGAACCTTAAAAAAGGGAATAAGGGCCTACTCTGGGTCCTAGGTAGTGATACGGTTGATGATATAAATCCTGCATGACCCATTATAAGGAATATACCATAATTCCCGTAGTTTAGGATCCTTAAGGTAATGCAGGATATATATCATCCACCGTAGTAAGGAACCTTTAGGTTTCTATGTCTGCAGCAACAGAACCGACACGTTCCTTGTTAGGAATTTCCCCTTCCCCACAAGGCTAATCGAATTCCTAAGGCCCCCCTGGTTAATTACCGAAATGGAACCCCCTAAACCCTAAACCCCCAATTAAATCCTATAAGCCTCAACCTCTAAACCCTACACTAGGCGTCGATTTCAACAGGGCCCTATAATAAACAAGAAGGGAAATTTAAAGACTGCCCCAAATCGATACCTAGCAAACCCCCAATGAAATCCTATAAACCTAAACCCCTTAAACCCCGGAGCCTTTGAAAAGTGCGGCCCTTTCGGATATTGCTCCGAAGTGTCCGTCAAGAAGTAGAAGGCCGGAGCACTCACGGAAAGGTGCAGCGATGTCCTGAGGGAAAAGTAACTAACTAGTTAGGTAGGGCCCCCTTACAGTAGGAGTCTATAATAGGGCCACTATTAAGGTCCTAATATTCAACTATTACTGAGTGGGGGCCGTACCCAACTAACTACCTTTGTTCCGGTGCCGGCAGCCCCCAAGTAAATGGACCTGACACCACGCGAACGTTTGGTTTCAGAAGGAGGGCAGCCATCTAACACGAGTGCCAAAGTGGAGCGATGTCCTGAAAGATTTCTGTGTTTAAAGGTGTGCGGTTTGAAATCCCGATAGTCAGGGGAGGCTTGTTGCAGGAGCCTCACCAACCCCGGAAGTGGCAACAATCAGAATTCCTTAACAAGAGACCCAATACCATGAACCCCAAATTATGGCAACTTCGATCACAATTCCTTAACGGGCGTCTGTATCAAGGTGAAGGCCGCGAACTTGGCAATGACGGGGGACAAGAGGAGAAGAAAGGCGGCAAGGACCTTCGCTGGTTCGGTTTTAGGGTTTAGGGTGCGGGGTATCTGTTGACGACGGCACACTTACATCCTGAAATGCAACACCTTGGAGTCAGACCCAAATGCAGCAGAGCACCACCAGAGCTGCAAGGAGGGCGACAGATGCCTCAGCAGTCAGAACTTCTAGGAGTTCAAGAATTACTATAGCGGCCTTAACAATTAGAACCAGGCTTTTGGGGCCCATTATACTATTATTGGAACCCCCCAAAATATTTTAATTCATGTAGGAACCTGATTGAGAAACCCTGGGCCTACAACCCCAAAATAGTAGGATCATATAAGGAACCCTAATAAAGCCCCATAGCTGGGATCTTATGGGACACTCGGAAAGTTCTTGAGGAGCCCTGCAGCGACAGAAAATGCACCACATAGCAGATGAAGCTGCGAAAACCAACACTCGTGAAGGTTTTGGGGCCAGATTCCACCTCTTTGCCAGGCTGCGTTGACCACCGGCCGCGTGGTGAGCGCAGCAACGGAGCTCAAAGACACCGAGGCTCCAAACATCACCAGCGCGAGGATGAAAAGCTCCTGTGTCTTGGCCGCAGCTTGACGGGCTACATCAAAGCAAGGAATCTTCAGCTATGGACTCCCAATCCTGTGAAAATGAGAGGGTGGTCATCTCTAAACCGTCGCCTGAGCCAAGGCAACGCAGGATTTTCGCAGGAAAAGCAGAGGTAGGAGCCCAGGTTCAGGTTTGGACCCACTAGCCAGGCTTCGCCCTTCGGGAACTGTGGCCGTAAGTTCCGGGGAGCAGAGAAGTCGGCTCACAGGCAAGAGCCGGTCTGGGAGAAACCCATCCCAGAAGGTCCGTATATATATATATATATATATATATATATATATATATACGACCATTGTGAAATTGGGTCCCAAAAGACCAGCCATCTTTATGATGGTTTTGGAGACCTAATTCCATAATAGTAGTCTGTATGGACCTTGTAGGCATGCATCGTCGACCCAAACAAAGAAATGGTTCAAAAACAGCAGGGGCCTCAATACTTCGAGTAATTTTCTGAGCTCAATTATATACTAACTTTCATAAGGTGCCCCAAGGACTGTTAGTAGCATTTAAATGTAAAATGAATCTGAGTTGTAAAAACCCTAAACCGTAATCCCAAAACCCTAAGCCCTAAACCCTTCTCCTTAAACTCCTAAACTCGGAGGCCTCAACAGGTGGGATGAAGGTAGGTGGGATATTCCCAAATAAGAGTCCTTATATAAGGGATCCTTAATCCTACCTACCTTCATCCCACCTTTTGAGGCCTCCGATAAACCCGGATGCCCTGTGGTAAGGCGCCTTCTGTCTCCAAATCTTGGCGCGGGCAGCTCGAACTGCAGACGCACCTTGGCTCAGAGCTTCTTAGGGTTTGGGTTTAGGGTGTTTAGAGTTTAGGGTCTATATATGGTAAGGGTTGATCCCAGGGCAAAGGGTTTAGTACGAGTCACAATCGTGAAAGCAGTGATAGCAAACACGCTGATGCTAGCAGCAGAATGGTAAGGATAGCAAATAGAACCATGATCTTGTTGAGCACTAATAGTGATACTAGTGTAAGCAAGGTAATCGTAGCAATCTACTCTGTGATCTCGAGTTCAAGGATACGCCGAGATGACCGTCTTTGTGACAAAGCATCTCAGCCCGAGTTCTGACTCTCTGCTATCGACGACAGGAACCGAAGCCCCAAACCCCTACCAGTAAGCCCTAAACCTGAACCTCTAAACCCTGAATCACGGGGCTTGCTGTAACCCAGTTGGTACACAGAGTGTAGGGTTTAGGGTTTCGGCTGCAGGGTTCAAGGTTTCTGTCCCCTGCTTCTGGGCACCCTCAACCCGAAGAAGACATCTCAACCCGTCCCTATACTGAACTTAGAACCCTAGCAAAAATCAAAATTCTTGCTGTTTCTGATTATAATAACCAAAAATCAAAACTTATTTCGAAGTAACCCTAAGGTCCCTTGCTGCCGGGCCACTTTTCCGAGGCTCCTGCATGGTAAAGGCGGCCACCAGAGCCGGGAGTGCACAGGCAGCTACCAGGAGATACACAGCCCGGGCTCCCAGAAACCTCGGGATCAACACGGTTTAGGGTTTTAGGATTTAAGGTTTAGGGTTTAGGATTTACGGTTTAGGGTTTAGGGTTTAGGGTTTAGGATTTAGGGTGGGCTCCCAGAAACCTCGGGAAAAACACGGTTTAGGGTTTTAAGATTTAAGGTTTAGGGTTTAGGATTTAGGGTTGAGGGTTTGGGGTTTAGGATTTAGGGTTTAGGATTTAGGGTGGGCTCCCAGAAACCTCGGGAAAAAACTGTTACAACATGTTTTTTGGGTTTCTTAGCCGACAGCTGTATGTTGAAGGGTTTAAAGGGCTTATGGGGTTTAGAAGGCTGTGCTTCGGATTAGGGTTTGAAGTTAGAGCTCGTAGACCTTCAGGGGTTTTGGTGCCCAGAAACCTTGATCAGCTATTCTGTCGATGATGATGATGATGATGCTGTTGCTGTTACCAAAACTGCCACATTGGGAACTCCAAAAAGCCACTCGATTGAAACCTGCCCCTTCTGGGGGCTTGCTACCAGTAGACTTTGGAAAGCTAAGCCACGTGAACACATATCTCGCAAGTCGCAAACTCTACCAGACTGCACCAACTCCGGCACGCCTAAGACTTGAATCCCAATCAATCCCAACCGCCGCACAACATCCTACTCCCATCTGCAGCCTGCAACCCGCGCCCATCCCTCAAACAAATCAAGATCCCAAACCCTAAACCATCCCCCCAGAACCAACCTAAACTCCACCCCTAAATTCCGAAAACCCTAGACTCTAAACCCCTAACCCCTAAACCAAAAACGTAGATCCTCATGTCTGTGCTCCTCCGATCGTTGCTGCGGGACGTCAGCAGAAATCCGGAAGCCAAACTCGCCAGCAAAGACCAGAAGGACATTCCAGCAAAGACCTCTGGCTTATAGGGGTTTGGGGATCCACTACGTAAACCGACAAACCCAACCCTAAACCCTGCTTAGGCTTCTCAGGCCTCCGGGGAAGATCCGGCGGGACTGATGAAGTCAAACATCCTATAGGACCTACATGGTAGAATGTAGGGTTTCTTTAATAGGAATAGGTACTCAGGACCCTTTATGGGTGGATTCCTGAACACCAAGGTCTGAAATAATACCATGTCATATAAGGGCCTGAATAATTAAGTCTTGGTGTATATCTAGGATACCCAGTAACCTAGGAATAAAAAGGCCTCTCTTTTTGGTATTGGGTAACTTTATAAGGAACCTAGGACTAGAAAAAGGGAATAAGGGTACTACTGGGCATCCTAGATATTACAGCAAGCACAACAAGCCCTGAATCCCCCACTCCCTACACCTCGCCTTTAGGTCTTTGACGGCTTGAGGGTTTTCGGGAGATTTCCAGAACTCGCAGTGTATACCGGGTCCCATATACCTCAAGAAGATCCCCTCTTCTTCCGTTCGGAGGAACCGGAAAGGAAGAAGCAGTGGGGCTCAGGAGTTGGGTTCGCGCCGTGGCAGACAAAGGGCAAATGTCAGCAAGTCCTGGCCATGCATCGGCTTGTCCTGCGATCGGCAACCGGGCTCAGGATTGCGAGCAACTGATGCACAGCACTACCCATGGCTACTGAGTCAATAAGAAGTTCTGCTACGGTGGTTTGCATTTCTGTTATTGTTTGGCCTTCCTGGTGTTGCTCATTCCTGTGATCGATGATGCTCGAAAACTCTCAGAAAAATAAGATTTTATTGAGGTACACCATACTGGTCAGGAGCCCACAAGAGTAGTATTATAGTATGTGTCACTCCATGAGGCATCGACATTAAAGGGTCTGCCGCCGGACAGAGTTTCGGAATGCTTGGATTGTGATTCTACAACGACCCACACCTCAACACAAATCATAAGACTGGGACATCCCAGAAACCCTTCAGTAAGCCTGCAAGCAAGGATATCAATTAATGCTTGAGTGCTTTTTGGTTCCTAGTTGATTCTAGACAGGCCTTGCTTCCAATTTTTTGCCTCTGCGTGTAGCGGTCAAGGCAGGCCATCAGCAGTTTTTCAACAACCCCCACCTTGCAAGCCTCAATGCCTTAACCACGAGAACAGATTTGGGGGGGGGGGGGGTAAAGTAATTGTAATCAGGAACCCCAGGGGATAGTAGCGCTAATCATTCAACCCTAAACCCCTAAACCCTGAACCCGTAAACCTCCAAACCCAGGCTTCGATTCGATACTGCGTTGCAATCGCTTCTCTAAGTTTGGAGATAGCTGCAATTCCAGGATGTAGGCTCGCTGAGGGTTAGCCCTCTCATGGTTCCCGGCGGTTACACGTTTCAGGGTTTACATTTTACGGTTACTTCGCGAAGAAGGAATAGAATTCCGGAATCATCCCGGCTTGAACCCCGGCATTGCCTGCATCTGCCGCGAGTAGATTGCCTCTGTCAACAGGTCGTCCGTGCCTCGGAAACGAAACGAGAAGGCTTTCATTGTATAGAGTTCAGATCGAGGCGCTCTATAAATAAGTGCAGAAATCCGATGTTTGAACCCTTACAGAAGTGTAAACTTGTCATTAAGAGCGCTACGCCAGTCTGTGTGGTGCTGCTGGCAACAGAAACCTACCCAGGAGGGCATATACATCTCCATAGACCGTTGCCAGCAGGGAAGGGAAGTCCATCTAACCAACCTCAGACTCTGCCTGTCGGGTAGGGCAGCCATGTTTTGATACGTGGCCGCAATTGCTCCAGGCTTTAAGCTTAAACCCCCTAGTCTGAACAAGCCCGAAACTCCGTGAATAAACCCCAGGAGCCCCTAAACCCCAGAACCCCTTAATGCCCTCAACAAATGAACCCCAATCCTTATGACCCCAGAAACCCCATAACTCCACAAACCCATGAACCCTAATCCTTGTATTTTCAAACCGTATAATACCAAAAAAACATAACTCCACAACCCCATGAACCCCAGTCCATATAACTTCAAACCCACAAATCCCACCACCCCTTGACCCCATAAACCATGAAACTCTCACCTCAACTTCAAGCCCCACAAACCCCCCAAAACCAAACTCTATATAACCCCCTAAATCCCTAAAGTCCTAAAACCCTTAAAGCCCTAAACCAGGAAATCTCTAACCCAAAGAACACCCTGATCTCCGGACTTCCCGGCAAGTTGCAGATCATGAGCTCCACGAGGAAGAGGCAGAGAACAAACCTCTCACGCAGCGTTCTGGGGGTGATCTTCTACCCATAGGCTCCATAGTAGTTCCTTTTTGGGATTACCTCAAAGGATTCTAAATAAATATGAACCCCAAAATGGAACTACTATGGAGCCTATATGGGTAAAGAGTTGACAAAAAGGGCTCCAATAAGTTGGGAGACGAACAGGTGTACCATAAGGGTTGCTGCAAGAGAGACTTTCAGGGCTACTGTAAGAGCAACTACCAGGTTAGGGTGCGTTTCAAAGGGCTAGAGTGAGCGAGGCAGGGCGGGCTACGGTGTGTCAGGTTCTCTGCCCTCATTCGTCTGTTGGCTGTGAAATCGGGCTTTGTGGCCGGGCATTGCAGTATGAATTGACGGCCATTTGCCTGAATTTTCCTAGGATCTGCGAGTATGACGCTCGCCGTGACTTTGCCATGCCCCAATATTTGTGTGGTCAGCCCCTAGCGAAGAACTTAAGACTCCGGGTTTCATGGGAAACTCGCATGCTCACGTGCTCGAGCTTGCTAAGCAATCGTTCGACCACTACTGCTCTGAACTTCGGCTTCAGACACAACCCCAAAGCACTGCTTCAGTAATTGCTTCTGTCAAGCCATGCTCGAGAGCCCCCGAAAGCCACCCCTGCAGCCGCAAAATGCGAGCAAGCCGTTTGCGGGGAGGTTTGTTCGTCAAAGCAAAGATCACTCGGGTTCCCAGCTGCCTCAATAATGAGGGTAGCCTTTTACCTACTTTTCGGTTTTAGGAAAGGAACTCAACATGGAAAAGGGCAAAAGGGTATTACCGGGGAGCCCAGACACTGTGAGCCCATGGCATCTGCACAAACTGGCAGAAAACTTCAGATTCCGGAAATCATCGCTCCCCCAACCCGACTTTTTGTCAGCAAAAAGCGCCATTCCAAACTCCTAGACCCGGTGAGCCCTCCACCCTGAAGCAAACTCGAATAGCCTCTCTGAAGCTCTACCACCAAAACTCCCGAACCCCTCCCCCCCAACCCGCAAGCATACGGGCGTTAATGCTTAGGAAAGGCTTTGGGAGATTTTACCAAGATAGTCTCGGTAATTATTTGTGCCCGATATTACTGTATGTCGAACTGCTTCTTCCGTGGCACATGCGGAGCGGCATCTCGGCCAGGCCGACGACGAAGGCGGCAGCGACACCGGCTCCAGTGGCCAGCAGCAAGTATGGCGCCTGGGTATAGGGTTTAGGGTTTAGGGACGCAAGAGCACCCAGAGAACCCAAGATCCCCTAATAAAGGAATGTGCCTTAAATCATATGAGGGATCCTATTAGAATTTAAGGTATATTGCTTAATTAAGGGGTCTTGGGATCTGTGAGCAGTCTTAAGTTGTTGGAATCCTTATTTCCCCACGGGGCACCTATAATGTGGGGGATACTCGCCCAAACCATCAGCAATTCCTAATACTTACGACTTAAGACTGTTTGGGTTTGGGAAGTATAGTGGAGTTCAGGAGTACTGATGACAATATTTGTGAAATTGCGTAGCGCTTGCTGACTCTGAATTCGAGAAAAACCCTGAATCATAAACCCCCTGAAGCCCAAAGCCCCCTAAGCCCTAAGCCTAGAGCCTTAAGCCCGAAAACCCTAAACCCCTAAAGCCCGTAGCCCTAAACCCCGTCGGCCGGCCTTGTTGTATCCTTTGATTGGGAAGAGATCGCTGGTTAGGCCGAGCATCGGCTTCAGAATGTAGGGAGAGAAGATCCTTAGGGAAGTCCCTGGGGTCCCTTAAAGGGCTCCTTAAAGGGATCTATAAGGGTTCCTTAAAGGGATCTATAAGGGTTCTATAAAGGGTTTAGGGTTTAGAGAGGAATGATGTAGGGTTTAGGGGTTTAGGGATTATAGGGTTTAGGGGTTTAGGGATTATAGGGTTTAGGGGTTTAGGGACTATAGGGTTTAGGGGTTCAGGGATTATAGGGTTTAGGGGTTTAGGGATTATAGGGTTTAGGGGTTTAGGGATTATAGGGTTTGGGGGTTTAGGGATTATAGGGTTTAGGGGTTTAGGGAATGATGTAGGGTTTAGGGGTTTAGGGATTATAGGGTTTAGGGATTATAGGGTTTAGGGATTATAGGGTTTAGGGGTTTAGGGATTATAGGGTTTAGGGGTTTAGGGATTTTAGGGTTTAGGGGTTTAAGGCTTAGGGTTTAGGGATTAGGGTTTGGAGATTACAGGGTTTAGGGGTTTAGGGCTTAGGGTTTATTAGAGTTTAAGGCTTGGGGTTTCAGGGTTGGGTTTAAGGGTTGAGGGTTGGAGGGTTTAGGTGCTTAGGGTTTAGAGTTTAAGGGTTGAGGGTTTTTGTGGGACAGCCACGGGGACTAAAGGGAATAGCTGGCTTTTGTTAACGACTTGTTTTCCGCCTCCAGCGGAAATCGCCTTGCTACGGAAAGCTCGGAAGGAATGGGATTTGGGGTTTAGGGTTTCGGTGTTGAGGGTTGGTTTTGGGACAGCTATAGGGACTAGTGTTTAGGGGTTGCGGGTTTAGGGCTTGGGTGTCAAGGGGTGTAGGGTGTGCCGTGTTCTGGGGTTTGAAAGCGTTAAGAGCTTGGGGATTTAGGGGTTTAGGGGTTTTAGGGTTTGGGGGGCCCAGCATTTAGGAATCAAGGGTTTAGGGTTCGGGGCCTTAGGGTGTGTAGGATACGACGACGAGCTAGAGCAGGAGCATTCCACGGGTCTCCGGCTTTGCGTTTCGAATGGCGGCTGGAAGACATTTGGGTTTGAAGCCTTTGCTTGTTGTAGGCATGGCTTCTGCTTGGGATATGTGCCTTATGATACTGGCCGATCTGCGAACATGTCCCGAAGCAGCTCGGATGTCAAGAGAAAGAGGCCGAAAAAGCTGCTGAAGTGCAGATAGAGTTTCAAAGTCTTCAAGATCTGCATGTCCTGGCAAAAGTTGTATGACTCGATGTGGAAAAGACCTACACCAGAAAGCATAGGGACGCAGTGTCAGCTAGGGACGCAGTGTCAGCAATTCTTGAGGGCTCCGTCTCACGGACGGTCGATGTCGAAGCCTAAAGCAACGACCGTCTTCAATCTTTAGGGTTCCCCTGAACCCCTAACTGAAGAAGACGAAGCGAGCGTATGGACGGATCTGTGGATGCACGCTGCGGCCCCCGGTCCTGTGCCGACCTGAGGCAGAATCAGACTATTTTAGTTGAAGCTGCGCGAATCTGACATGCATATACCGTATATATATATATATATATATATATATACACAAATATATATATATATATATATATATATATACAAATATAACTATAGTTATATATATATACATATTTGTGTATATGTATATATATATATATATATATACATAGGTGTGTACATGTATATATATATATACATATCTGTATATGTATATATCAGTTATCGCATATGATAGTAGAGGATCGTATATTGTAGTATGGTTTTGTATATTCTGACGCATCTAGGGATGCTTGCTCTTATGTAAGTGTGGCGATTGAGACTTCAGGTTTTCCTGTAGGACTTGGACTTGGACCTGGACGTCGGCCAGCCTGCATCCGATAGAACCGAGCCCCCGGCACATGATACTCCTTGCAAAGGTAGGGGTTGGCACGGCCGCCAATAGTAGCGCCCAAGCCCTTGATGAGATGCTGGATGGCGAACCTCTGGAGTAGGTCGGGGATTTGAGTTTGAGAAGTAGGCTAAGACTGGGGATTTGCACGAGAGGGTTTTGGGGCCCACGCTCTGGACTTGGGGTTGAAAGGGTGCGTAGAAGACCATAATATATCGTGGTATACTATAACATACTATCTACCTATCTAGCAATCTGTCCATCTGTCTGTCTGTCTATCTGTCTGCCGATCAATCAGTCAATCTATCTACCTACCTATCTACCTACCTATCTGCTTATCTACCTATCTATCTATCTACCTATCTATCTATCTGTCTGTCTGTGCATGTATACACACATACATACATACGTACATACATACATACGTACATAATTACATAGACACATACATGCATGCATTGTGCACAGCATGCACTCCATACCATTCCATTCCATTCCATTCCATACATACATACATACATACACACGCTAATATGTATGTATATATACACGCAAATAGCTACACATCCGTGTGTATGCCAGTATATGTGTATTATATATATATATATATATGTATATATATATATATATATATATATATATATGCTACCGTCTATTTGCTCACGTATCCTGATCAACTGATGTATTCATATATATATATATATATATATATATGTATACACGTGTGTATGAATATATATATATATATATATATGTGTGTGCATATGTGTATATATATATATATATATGTATATATATATATATATATATGTATATATATATATATGTATATATATATATATATATATATATATGCTACCCCCGCTCCTCATGTGCCCACCGTTCCATCTGCTTTCGGAAAAACACGCCACAGCCCTGATTCAAACGCGTGAGCAATGTGCAGGGGGCTCTGTAGATTCGCGATGCGGCTGACACCCCTCTCCCATGACACGCCGCATTCTGCCAATTAGAGCTATGTTTCACCCTTGTAATATGTAGTTTCCAGCGTGTCTTGGGGAGAAGGGGGTATAATACTCTTATCACAACCAACGTGCTTTAGCATTACTATTCACCTTGATGCCCTCACTGCCTGCACTATCGAGTGACTGACGTGGTGGTTTTTTCTGTTGCAATATGAACTGAACGTGATTCCATATGTTTATGCCAAAGATGCGATGCAAATGTCGATGAGGGGCTAGTGTCGTTTATGTTGTCGTCGGTACTATTGTCATTCTACGAGGTAGGTGTGAACATTATAGTCAGTTCTAAATGCTGGAAATGCCGAGAACCCATGCCACATACACAGTGTTGTTGCTATTATGATCATGGAAAGGGACTGTCGTGACGTGAGAACATAAATATGCTTGAGTTAGAACCATATCACATACGCATGATTAATGTTGCTATCCTGATTCGTGGAAAGGGATTGTCGCGGCGCGGCAATACAACCGTGATTGCATCAGAACATGCTCTTTTCCCCATATAGTTCCCTCTAATACTAATTCTATAATTCGTGTGTGGTGGTGGCCCTGCTGCTTAATGAGTTTGAAATTGTACGGAATAATTAAGAGCCTTGTCTTGTCATTGTATTGAGATGAGATATCTAATGTAAACGCATATTCTTCTGCAAAGCCAAGAATGTAACTATGCTAGTGGTAGGGACATGCCAATCGAGGTAGCAACACAAACAAGCTATCATCTGATATAGATGGCAAGTGTACATATGACGGGTGTTCGTCATGTTTCAATGGCAAGTCGTTGTTGCTTGTGCTCCTCTAAACTGATACTTAGACGATCTCGGATTAGTTTATATTATATATCTGTTCTGTCCGGGCTATATGGCTAACTGTACACGATTTTTTTCTAACGAAGATTTGTTTGTCATTGGTAGTGACATACGCAGTCTCTAGGTAAAAATTCGGTATCATAGGTTAAAGTCAAAAAACTTCGGTATCATAAAGTATATAGCGAATGATTTGCTAAGCCTTCGTTTGATGCCTAATGTTCACATAAGGGTCATGTAACTATATCTATTGACCATTGTTAACAAAAAATGAAAACACGTTGAATGATAGAGTTACTGTGTACAACTTTCATTTGCTTGTTGTTTGATGCTTTAATGCTCGGTGATATGTAACTGATATTTCATCAGCGTTCAATTACTACTTAGTTTCATTCGATGAATATTCCCTCGGCATGCAACCCAGTATTTACTTCATCTCTTATGTATAGCTCGCCACGATTGAAACAATATCTGTATGCGTTGTTGAGGTATTGTATACAATATGATATGACTCCGTGTTTTCACGGAAATTTCATCGGCGTTCTCGTTTCCAGCCTTCCCAGTGAAATACTCTACAATCAATATCTAACACTTTAAATACTCGGGTTCTTGTCAGTATTGAGTGATTCAAAATAAAGTCTGAGTAGATATGCATGCAAAAATGGCCAAATCCAGTTGATTACAAGTTATCCAAACATCAGCTGTCCGTTACCTGGGTGCAGTCTATACCCAATTGAATGCTGATTATAAAGTAGGCAAACGTCAACCCAATGTTAATTGTTACTGTGAACAAATATTCTCTGAATACTACATGTTCAAAGGGTATTATCTTGATACGACGTATTGGATGAGGTTCATAAACGCATTGTATACCAAATGAATGCTGGTGATACAGTAGGCAAATGTCAACCCACTGTTACCTAGACGTTTTTCTCTGGAAATATTTTCTTAAGATTAAGCGTTCGACCACGGTTTTTTGTGTACGAGGTATTTGATGAAGTGAAATGTATCTGAATTAATGTCAATATGAAATCTTGCACAAACCCATCGTACATAGTGTCTTACGGTAACGATAATGCGAAATGATTAGCAGTTGGAAAGGGTTTCCAATATAGGTTTCAAGAGTCCACTCTTGAAACCCACACCCCTATATTATACTTCTATGAAAAGCACATTGGACAAAGTCTTGTATGAGTCAAAATTCCCTCGTAATTCGCCCTCTTGATGTGCACGGGACCGAGAAACCTCATGCCGACCCCGGTGCGCAAGCCGAGCCACGTGGGAAGCATTCGCAGCCACAGAAAGCAAAATTCATCGCAAATCCAAAAACCCAACATTTTCGCGGAGATGCCATAATAAATCTTGCATTCTTGATTCTTGGAATATGGAACTTCTGGATTTATGGATTTTGGGATCTTTGGATTTTAATGGGAAATCAACAAATCCAAAATTAGTCCTGGCATCTCTACGGAAATAATGGAGTTTTCGACTTTCGGATTGTGCAGGAATGGTGCTCGTTTGTAGGCCCATTTTAGGGCAATACTGTCTACAACGCGAACGTGCGTAGATGTCCCATTGTCGGAGACACATGGGGGGATACCACATACATATATATATATATATGCATATGTATATGTATACATATACACACGTACTAGTATGTATGTATATGTATATGTATATGTATATGTATTTTTATATATCTATATATAAATAAATATATATATATGTATGTATGTATGTATGTACACATATATTATATATACATACGGCAGGGCCCTCAGGCCATGCTTGGTAGTAGCTGTAAGCCCCTTGATGTAGGAACCTGTTTCAGTAATCCGCAGTTCTTAGTCAAGTTCTTACAGTGCATCAGGATACATTTGGGGATTTCCAAACCATGGTAGAATCGGTAATTTCAACCTTGGGTTCTTAATTGGGCATTTCAAATCTGGTCTTTATCCGAGATTTCAAACCTTGGTTTTCCGAATCAGACCCCTCCTTTGGCGGAGTCTGCAGCGCAATTGTGACAAAGTCGCCGAAATAATAGCATATAAGCCCGACCTCCCGATAAACCTCATAAAACCCGATTCTATAGTTATTCAGACACCTGTAGAGTTAGTTTTCCAGGCCACATGGTTTGCTACGTCAAACTTCGCAAGCAAGAACCCTAAACCCTGAACCGAGAAGCAGGAGGAAAAGCAGCCGCCCCCCGAACTCTTGTCGCAGCATGGCCAGCCACGCAGCAAAGCCACACCTGTCCGGCAGCCGAATTGAAGGCAGTTTCCTTCATCAAGGTTTCTGTAAGTTGACTCTTGGAGGTGATTCGGGTTTAGGGCCGGCAACAGAGACAAAAAGAACTTGAATAATAGGGAGAGCTACTTAGCAAAGCAGTCTTTGCGTGAGTGGATTTCTGACTGAGCTTACCAATACTCCAGCCTCCCGGTGTTTCGGCTGTTTCGCTTTGAGATGTGCAATACAGGGGCCTTCATAATTTCACTAGGGTTTTGGGAATATTATACAATGTTATGGAACTCCCACAATAGTTTGGGAAAATGTTTTTGCCTCTATAGTGGACACTTATCACTTGACTTGACAGAACTCTCCGCAGTAGAGTTCTGATGCCTGCTCGTCCGGCATGCTCCGCATGCTCCGCATGCTCGGCATGCTCCGTGTGAATCTGAGCCATCGCCTGGAGCAAGTGGACTTTCTTCACAACATGAACAACATCCACTCCACGAAATAGCAGGCAATCAAGCCCTATGCCCCCTCTAAGTTACAAGTTCACATGCACGGCAGACACGAAATGTCAAGGCTGCGGGCAATGGATCTTGTCTGGAACGGAGCGCCAATCTTCCAGTTCAGTCACAAGAGGAAGGCCGGGCCATCCACAACACTGTCATTAAGGCCCTATATTATACCCTCATAATACCCCTTATAGTAACCTTAATCGGACCCCTTTTAAGAACACATTAAAGGATCCCCCACAATAGTATGGGTAAGATGTTCTTTACCTGGGACGTGTGCAGCTCATGTTGCTGCCCCCAACTATGGTCTGTTCAAACAAACGACGAAGCAAAGAAGCAACAGTCCTAGTCAAGTCCGCGTGGCATTCGCAGCAGCTCGAATCATCTTCAGAAGCCATTCCGTGCAAGTGCCGAACAAATGAAGCGGGCTCTTTCTGGTGTCTTCTGGGGATTCGCCGGAGCACCCCTGCATCATGACACACACACACACACACACACACAAAACTGCTTCTTGTATTGCGCTGATTTGGGCGCTGATTTGGCTCAAGCTGCAAGCGGTGTGTCTGGTCTACCGCTCTGCCGCCCTTTCATCGGCACTTTGCTTTGGATTCATTGGCTGCTCTGGAGCGGTTCACATAACCGCCGATACTATTTTGGGGGTTACCTATTATAAGTATAGTATGATGGTCCCCAACACCCTGTTCTAATTGTTAAGGCCCTACATACTCTTTGCACAAGTCCCAGCAATGCTGTAGCCTGGGGCGTGCAAGCACAGCAGCGATCTTGCAGCAACCTTATTGTAACCATTTGCAGCCTCTTATGTTTAGCAGCTGGCATAGCCTAGCACCGCTTGTGATGACGAAGATACGAAAATTCATGTCCGAATGAGACGTGCAAAACTACAGGACCTTGGCTTAGCCGCAGCCTGGGTGCTGACTGCTGGGAAACACCTCAACAAACTCCAGGGAACCCGGATCGGCCACGGACTGAACCTTCCGCCCTATTGTTTCGGGTTGGGGCACACGCACTGCAAAGCACTGAGCGCCATAACCTGAGATGCATGATGCTAAACGTTATGCTTGAGGCCCTGTACCTGTAAACTTACAACACTAAACCCTACACACTAAACCAGAAAACTCTAAATTCCAAACCCTTACACACTAAACAGTAAGCTCTAAAACCTGACAAGTTTTTACTCGCATCTCTGCTGAAAGTATGCCCAGCCGGGCTCTGGAGAAAGCCTGGGTGGGCAGCAAGCGCGAAGGCTTTGGGGTTCAGATCTTGTCGGCAAGTTTGGAGGTGTTGTATAGGGGTCAGAAAATACAAATATGACATACCCCAGCACCTCTTGTAATTGCTAAACCTCTTTATGATGTCTTAGGTTGCGGCTTTCGGTTTTAAGGTTAGGGCTGTCGGCTGGCATGGACTGTTCCCCCAAGTGAGTTCCTACCAGGTAGTGTAGCTTCACACTCAGGACATGAGTCTTGGCTGCTGTCCAGGCAATCCCCCAAACCCTAAATCCGAAACTCCGAAACCCCAAGCCCCAACCCCTAAATCCGAGACTGTGACCCTAAACCCTAAACTCCTAAACCCCAAACGCCTGCAGGCCCTCAACCCTGGACCAAACGGGAGATCCCGACACACACGGAGGAGTGTCTTGCAGAATCCCAGGCCCAGCAAAGCAATGCCATTTAATGTAATGTTCGGGGGCTGTCTTCCAGGGTTTAGGTTGTAACGTAAAGTCGGCATACACAACAACCACGTCCGCCTCTCAAAAAGGAACTCGGACACGTGGCGAGGGATCTTTTACCAGGTGTCCCCATAACAGCCCCCCAGATGTACACTCACCAACATTCCGAAGGACCCATGTATCCACTTCGCAAACCTCGTGACCTAAACCCTGCCTCATGTAGCTCCTCAGTGGTAGGCCCTCCAAATCCTTAAGCTTATAAGCACAAGCGATCCCCCTGGGATTGTAGGCAAATTTTGTTGTTGCCCGGAGAAGAAGCCCCAAACCAGTAAAGGAAACAAACTAAAAGAACCAGTCTCCATACAAGAAACATCAAGAAGCCATAATCCAACCAAGGGAAAAGAAGAAAAGTTTTCAAAGTAATGTAGGAACCTGATTAAGAAACCTTGAACCTTTATTAGGGCTCCTTATGCGGATCCTACTGTTTTGGGGTTATAGGCCCAGGGTTTCTTAATCAGGTTCCTACATTCCCAGGAGCCCAGTACCGCTTAATTAAGGAATATAGCTTAAATCATAAAATGAGGCCCCTTATCATTTAAGGTATATTGCTACTTAAGGGGTATTGGGCTCTCTGCGTTACAGCCAAAGCCAGGGTGCCCTTTGGCTTCCCGTGCTTTATTGCTCAGCGCCCGTTCCCGGTGGTAGGCGTGCTCGAAAACCACGGGCAAGCAAACCGGCTTGTGAATCCAGAGCGTGCTGTCCTTAATTTGAAAAACTGTCAAGCGATAGACAGATGAAGCTGAAAACCCACATGCCCAACACACACCGACGCTAAATCATGTGGTTACTTGTCAACATTATGGCCCCTTCTGGGTACCCTAAATATTAGGTGCCGTATCAAAACAAGGACCCAAAAAGGGACCCTAATTTTGACAGCCACCCATGTAGTTCCATAGAGAAGCTCAGATTCACTGCGAAATCTGGAGCCGCGAAATTCCACAAACCAGTCCCCACCAAAAAAATGTGGGGTTAGGGTTTAGGATGCGGAGAATAGGGTTCCGATGCTCCTCAGTCTACTTCAAGATCGCAGCTGAAGCCAGGATGCATCTACTTCCGGCAAGTACGCGCAGCTGAACCATCGATGCCTGCGCCCTTCTCGAATTGCCAGCGCTTCCTCCGCAATGCGGTTGGCCTTTCCTGCGCTGGACCGATTTTGCTTCAGGCGTTTTGATCACGAGGTGAGGGTTCAGGGTGTAGGGTGAGGGTTTCGCGTGAGACCTTACCCCCAAAATCCCTAAAACCGAAAACCCTGAACCCTGATGAATTGAAGCCCCAAAATTGAAAACCCCTGAAAAAATCCAAAAAGCACTGATGTTGATTGTCCGACCAGGCTCCGCCAACCTGCAGCCCCCAAATCTGCGCAGGTGCCAATGCCAGATCCAGCTGGTAGGTGAAGAGGAAGGGCGGCATGCAGAAGAACCTACTTAAAGGCTCATGGGACTTAGTAATTATGGTTATAAGTAGGTTAGAATTAGGATAACCCCACTTCGGGGACTTATAACCCCAGTTATAACCTACTTACTAAGTCCCATGATCCTTTAAGTACGGTTTTCGGATTTATAGGTTCGGGATTGTTGTGGTGTGCAACGCGGATCGACCACATAGCATGACTTTCGTGGCACTCAGGTGACAAACTAGAGAGAAGCGCATGGCACTCACAAGTTGAGCTCAAAAAGCAAGAGGCTGCAGGCAAACTGCTGCATATGGTCAAGGAGCTGTAGGTTTAGAGCTTAGGGATTGGGATAAACACAGCACGTGCGTCAGGCGAGGAGCGTGATGTTCAAGGGCAAGAAGGCATTGTCCCAGTGCCTAATTTTCCACAAGCCCACAAATCATGCATGCAGCAGGGCACTACCCTAAACCAACAAGGCTGAAAACTTTCACAGCCACTCGCTGGGTCTGGTGTACGCCGAACTTTGGAACAAGATGCAGCTTAATGCCCTGCCATCGTAGGGTGGCACTCCGAGCCAGGGACACGCCACCCACCTCAGCGAATAGATGTATGCATACAGAGCACTGGACCATGCTTGGCTGTGCAGCGCGACATGGCACCACATAAGGGGCACAACCAGGACCCTCTCTGCAAACGGGGGGAAAAGACCCGAATAGTGGGCATTTAGAGTCTAATGGGGCGTAGATCGAGAGGCTAGGGTACGTAAGGGTTAAGGGTTCAGGGATTACCTGTAGCCGAAAAGACCTACGTGGTTCCTTATTATGATTTCTAAATATGGCTTCGAAAAAACGGTTGGTCTTTTCGGCTGCAGGTAGGGTTACCTTAAGCCGGAATAACCTACCTTTTTAAGGACTTATACAAAGAAATCGTAATCGGGAACCCTAAAAAAGGTAGGTTATTCAGGGATAAGACAGGGTCTCGCAAGATCCTGCTGTTGGGCTCTTCTTCAACATCCGAGCATTGCAGAGACGAATTCATAGTATGCCGCTGCAACCACCCGAACCCTAAAAGGAACCCTAAACCCTTTACAGCAAATCCCCATAAGGTTGGAAGCCGGATTAAGGCCAAATTGTGCTGGGGATCCCTATACATTACTCTTAAGGATTGAGGCTATTGGGTTTCCAACTTTTGCGCTTCTAATGGTTCCTGACTAGCCTATGTAAGGGTAGCAGTTTTCCTACTGTTCGGTTTTTACTAAGACAGGGCGCACGCAGGAACGTAGTTAAAGAAACCCTCGACCCCGACGGCGGGAACCCGAAACCCTTGACGGAAGCCGAATCCCGGCAAGGAACCCGTTATGACCCATCACGCCAAAGGGACGCAGGCATAGTATGCCACTCCAACCGCGGAACCCTAAACCCTTCAATTACCAGTAGGGTTTAGGGTTTTAGGGTTCGGGTTTAGGGTTTATCGGGTTTAGGTCTAGGTATCAAGCCCACGGGACAAAGGCATAGTTATGGGGGATACTTCTCCAGATCATAACAGGAGCTTAATTCTACTATATAGTTATTACAGAACCCTTATGGATATCTTAAAGGAATCCAGGCCGAAGGGACGAAGGCACAGTTATGGTAGGGTACTTCCCCAAATCATAGTAGTAGCTTGATTCTACTATACAGCGATTATAGATCCCTTAAAGGACTCCTTAGGTATCAGGCCAAAGGGACGAAGGCATAGTAAGCCGCCACCCAGAGGAGCCTTTCCCGTGTGGTCGCGATCCGAAGCGCCAGTTCCATCTCCTGGAGGTTTGGGCTATACTGCAGGGGCGTTTAAAGGGATCCTTTAAGGGGTTCCTGTAAAAGGGTTCCTTTAAAGGTGTTACTATACCATAAGGGCTACTATAAGGGTTCCTGAAAAAGATTGCTTAAAAGGGGTTACTATACCATAAGGGCTACTACAAGGGTTCCTTTAAGGGATCTTTAATAGGGTTCTATAACGTAAGGGTGTAGGGGGCTCCATCTCCTAAAGGTTACTGTAGGGGCGTGAATAATTAGAACAGGGTTCCTTTTCAAGGGTTCCTGTAAGGCCAAAACTGCGTAGAATAATAGCCTTCTGTAAGGGTTTTGCGCCAGTATTTAACCTTCTTTTGGTGGCTTAAGGTTTGCGGTGCAGGGTCGGGGGTTCGGCTTCACGGTTTTGATTTAGGGTTCGGAGTTCAAGGTTTAGGGTTCAGGGCTTGGGGCGTGGAGTGTAGGGTTTGGGGACCTTCACTTTCAGCTGAACGAAGGGCCTTCTAGATGGTTGAGGATTTAGGGTTTGGGACCTAATGTTTAGGGCTTAGTGCATGAAGGGCCGGAGTGATTCCTAGCACGATCTGTCGAGCCTGTTCTACTTACTACTTAGAGGATCATGGGACTTAGTAAGTAGGTTATAATTGGGGCTATAAGTCCCCTAAGTGGGGATATCCTAATTATATCCATTGGGGTTATACGTCCCATGAGCCTTTAAGTAAGGCCCCAGCACAAGGAACCCCGTGGAATGATCTTGCTCAAGTTCGAAGCTTCTCTGGTATACTGCGGCCCTAGAATGCCCTTAACCCTGAACCCTAAGGACCCTAGAGTGGAGAACTCGAAAGGTAGGATGAAGGTATGTAGGATTAAGGCTCCCAAATACAGGAAGTGTTCAGTTGGGATTACCCCACCTACCTTCATCCCTCCCTTGAAGCCCCATTATGGCCATACCATAGCCATCCGAGGCGCGCGAGTCTTCTTTGTCTGCTTGATGTCAGCCTCTCGCAGTCAAGATGCCACGTGTGAGGCACGGCAGGGTTCGGGCTTAGGGTTTGGGCTTTCGGTGTTTTGGGGTTTGTGGCTTTAGGGTTTGGGGTTTAGAGCTCCTGGATTCATGGCTTTAGGGTTCAGGTTTTCGCGCTGAGGGCTTGAAAGCCTAAGATACCCAGTAACCTAAGAATAAAAAGGCCTCTCGTTTTGGTATTGGGTAACTTTATAAGGAACCTAGGACTACAAAAAGGGAATACGGGTACTACTGGGCATCCTAGAAGCTTGAGCGTTTGCAGTTTTCAGGTCTGGGGCTCAGGGGTGAGTCTGCTCGGGCCTAGGGGTCGGGGTTCATCCCAAAGCGCTGACAGACTAAACTAACCCAAAGGCAGGGTCGAGGGCTTTTCGGGCTTCGGTGTTTTTTGAAACACCTTGCCAATTGCAGGCAGCTTTGGGTTTAGGTTGTTATGTTTGGAGGGTCATGGCATGGGACTTAGTAAGTAGAGTTATAAAGACCTTCTTTGGAGTTAAAATTTATGTGTAATGTTTAGTACCCATAGTTGCCAAGTCCCATAATCCTCAAAGTATACCTTAAACCTTAAACGAATCCTTTAAAGGGACATTACTTACTAAGTCCAAGGATCCTCGGAATGCCTTTTGCTGTTCGGCTTGGGCATCTGAGGTTTCGGGTTTCGAGCTAAAAAGGATTGGGGGCCCAGGATACCATAATTATAGTAAGGAACCCCCAAAATAGTATTGGTAACTATTGAAGTCCCTATATTAGGGCTTAAACTTGGATTTAAGCCCTGCCTGACTCCTAGGACACAGCGATGATGTGATCAGAAGCTCAGTCACGTCGACCCCATACAAAGCCACTGCTGATCCAAGGGCAGCATTACTCACTCTTCACATCCTTACAACACCCTACACCCAAACTCAAAATACATAGTAACCCTTCTCTAGTCCTCATTCGTGACCTTTGTATTGCAAAAATGTAAAGGAAGCCTAGAACCCAAAGTCAAACATCTCCGAATCCTCAAAACAATGCCCAAACGGTGTTCTGCGGCAGGGCACCAGGCGAGAATCCAGGAGTCCACTTCGGATACGATCTTCGAAAAGCGACACAGCGGCACCCATGCTGCAGAAACCGGTGATAGAAGGGAGGATAGGGATATCCCGTATAACTCCCCGTATAATGAAGCCCAGTTAGGAAGGGATATCCTTGTAAAGTGTTTATGCTTATATCCTTTCGGGGCCCTTGATTTCATATGCTTCCTTATAGGCCTTATTCAGTCCTTATTATAGGTATTAAGGCCGCCTGCCCTCCTCCCCCCTACCCCCCTAAGGGTCCCTAGTTAGAGGATCCATGGGACTTAGTAAGTAAGGTTATACGAAGGTAAAAACAAGGATAACCCCACTTAGGGGACATATAACGCTAATTATAACCCACTTACCAAGTCCCATGATCCTCCAAGTACTCCCTAAACCCTATAGGCCCCTTTAAAGAACCCTACAGATCCCTTTAAGGAGCCTTACTTGCTAAGTCCCATGATCCTCCAAGTATGATATGCTCTTTGAGGGTTTACATGGAAGCCGAGGCATGCTCCGAGCAAAAGAAGTCGCGCCAGAACAAACTTTCCCAGACCCCGGGAGGATCCAAAAAGTAGATTCCTTAATGGGACGGTTTAGGGTTTTTTTTTTTTTAAGTTTAGGGTCCTATAACCTTAGTAGTATAGGGCCCCAAACTAGGGGAACTACTTTCTGGATCCTCCCCGGGGGTCTGGGTTGTGAGGGCTTGAGGTCTGGGGGTGGGGTGGGGTGGGGTGGGGTGGGGGTGAGGGCTTGAGGTCTGTTTTGCTTTTTAGATTTTCGGGTTTTAGGGTTTGGGCCTTGATTAGAATAGGGTTTTAGGGTCCATTACACTATAATTGCATTTAGGAATCCAAACTAGTGTAGTTACTATTTATGCCTCTATGTTAGGGTTTGGGGGGCTGAATTTTCGGATTTTAGGCTTTCGGGCATTGGAAATCATGTAGGCCCCTGCGCCTATCACAGGACCAGAGCCCGTCCCTTCACCCCAGGCCCCCAAGCCCAGACCAACCCCTCTAAACCCGCAGCTCTGAAAACATCAAGCCTCAACCACAAAGCCCCCAAACCCCGAACCCTAAACCCATAAACCCCCAAATCCCTGCACCCCGAAACCCCTAAACACCCAATCCCCTAAACACCTAAACCCCAAGCATTATAGATCCTTTGACTAGCTCCGAGCGCGCTTAATCCCCGACAGGGTTCAAACACCCAGTTCCTTGTGGCTAAGGGACACCCTCCTTTAACTATAGAACCCCTTTCAAGGAACCAAAACCTAAACCTTACACCCTAAACCCCCAAATCCCCAATCCCTTAGATGCAACGGCTCTGTTTGGCGGTCTTCAAAGCACAGTCAACGCGAATCCCGATGGAGCGACTCCAGGATCGATCGCCTCTGGTTTGGGGTTTCGGGTTCAGGGGTTCAGGGGTTTAGGGGCTTTAGGATTTGGGGATATTTAGAATAGGGTATATAGGGTTCGTTTCAAGGGATAAAGAGTAGAAGAAGGGTTTAGGGTTTAGGGGTTTAGGGTTTCAGGGTCCTAAACCCTAAACGGGTTTGGGAGTCTAGGATTCATGCGTTAGGACTTTCGGGGCAAGGTATGAAGCCAGCTTATGTGACTGGGGGATGGCGTAGGTTGTGTTTTAGGGTTTAGGGTTTAGGGGTTTAGGGTTTAGGGGTTAGGGGTTTAGGGTTTAGTGTTTAGGGTTTAGGGGTTTAGGGTTTAGGGGTTTAGGGTAGGTGCATGGACTTTGGGTTCTAGGTGTTAGGGTGAAGGGGCTACTGCTACCACTGACACGACTGTTATCCTAACTAAGACATGCACTAGTTTTCTCACATTTCCTGGTCTGACTAGTACTCTCTATCGTTCGTAGTATTACGAATACCTTTGCGTTTATCGCTACAACACACTGAACGCACTTGCAGAACCGCTACGGAATCCTTCAAAATCTGTCAGAAGCACACACAGACATGGGAATTTGCGGAAATAGGGGACCCTATTATGGTACCCTAAAGAGAAGGACCCTTATTATAAGGACCCCCAAAATAAGGTACCCCTAATTTTCGGAAGCTCCCACATAGACAGTCTTGCTTTAACCTGAGCCTTGATAGAAACCTTACAGAACCCTTGTGGACATCTTCAAAAGGCACTGAACAAACGTTTAGGGATGCCAGTGGTAGCATAATCCCTCAATGAAGGAGTTTTGAAGCCTCAAACCCTTCCGAAGCAGCGGCCAGCAAGTGCAGCTATCAGGGCAGTGGAGCGGGTCCTGGCAGAAGTCCGGATGCATCGCAGGAAGGTTAGGGTTTCGGGTTTAGGGTTTAAGGGGTCGGGTTTAGGGATTAGGGTCTAGCGGTTCGGGTTTAGGGTTTAAGGAGTCGGGTTTAGGGATTAGGGTCCAGCGGTTCGGGTTTAGGCTTTAAGGGGTCGGGTTTAGGGGTTAGGGTCTAGCGGTTCGGGTTTAGGGTGTAGGGTGTAGTTCGAATTTAGGGCGACCGCCCTAAACCCCGAGACCCAGAACCCAGGAACCTTATCGGGCTCATGGCAACCCTGAAACATGAACAAACGTCATGGTCGAAGGCTCTATAATCCAAAACTTTGTGGCGAGCCCCCCCCGAATCCTCAAGCCTTCAAAAAGCCCCACACCCCTGAACAGCCAAACTCTGTATCATTGAAACCCTCAAGCCTAAGTAAGCCAATGGCAGTGCACTCTAAAGTATCCATAAAGAACCTAAACCCAAAGCACAAGACTCCAACCCCTAAACCCCAAAGCCAGAACAAACTCCTAAACCGTAAAACTCTAAACCCAAAGCCCCGCAACATTCTCAGCATGATAATATAATATAGGGGTGGAGCATTAGAAATAGTGTGCCGCCATTGCAGTCCCTACATCAATACCGTATGGCTTACCGATAATTTTGCAGCTCCCGCCAAAACCCCAAACCTGAAACCCACCAAAGCCTAAAACCCTAAAGCCCGCCAACTAGGCCCTAAAACCTTAAGCCAAAATCCCTCAACAAACAAACCCCAAACCGGGAAGACCACAAACCGCTATTCTAAACTGAAGGGAACCCTTATGGAAGTGTCAACCCTTATAGAACCCTCCTGACCCCTTATCGAACCCCCGTATAGGACCCTCTAGAGGCCACAGTTTACTTCCTCTCTCCTACAAGTTACCCCTAAATGGCCCTATAAATCCTAAACCCCTAACCCCCAAAGCCTGAACCCCTAAACCCTAAATCCTAAACCCCTAACCCCTAAACCCCCAAACCCTAAAACCCTAAACCCTAAATGGCCTTAAATCCTAAACCCCTAACCCCCAAAGCCTAACACCCCTAAAAGCCTGAGGTCTAAAAGTGCTTCAGAGCTCCAAGGGTCCTGGGCCGATCGCACCGGAGCGCTTCCACCACTCGACGTAATCCTTTCTTCCAGGAAGGTTTGGGGGCTGTTTTTTAAAATTGTCTAGGAGTTGTAAGCCTTTCTTCAAGGAAGTTTGGGGGGGTTTTAGGGCCTTTGGGGTTTTCAGGGTTTTCACTTCAGAGAGGGTCTAGGGCTTAGAGTTTTTAGGTGAGGCTGGAAGTTTGAATAATTGGGTACAGGGCTTAGAGCTGGCTCCACCACCTCACTTCTGGATTCTGCTGCCACTAGTGCTACTGGCTGCGTCTACTGATGCTGCTTCTGCATAGCAACAGTAATCATAACATCGACTAGGCGTGGGTTTTCAAGGGTTCTTCAAAGGGGTCTGCCAGGTTTCAGTGTATGTGAAACTGTAATTACATAGGAAGTGAAAAGGACATTCTCACTAAGTGCTCACACCCCTCTGATTTCGGTTTGCTAGTCTGTTTAGCCGTTTCTTAAAGCTACACAGCCCACCACCTGCGCATCCCCACCTCGGGCCCTGCGCCTCCCCTCTCCTCCAATATCCCTTAAGTAAGGAATATACCTTAAAACATAATTGGATCCCTCATATGGGTGGTTGTCAAAATTATGGTTCCTTTGGGGTCCCTATTATAATACGGCACCTATTATTTAGGGTACCCAAGGGGCCATGATTTTGACAACCACCCATATGATTTAAGGGTATGTTCCTTAATGAAGGGATATAGGAGTCTCTGGGTGAGCCAGCAGCTCAGGTTCCCACGCACCGAGCATAGCCTCAACCTCAACTTACTACCCCAATAAGCCCCAGAAACGAAAGGTTAAACTTTACGATTCCTACTAAACTATAAGAACCGTTGGGTATTGGGGATCTAAGTCAAAGAACCTTTGCTTCTGAGTCGGGTGTACATGCAGCACAGGTCCTCGTAGTCCATACCGAGGAAATACTCTACATGCTCGTCGAAGCCTGTGTTTGCCCCAGATCGGTTTGGCTTGGTTTCAGCGACTCGTCAACCAAGATGCTTCTCATCACCATGCTTGGGAGCAATTACAACATTCACTCACTGTTGTAAGCTTCTACTGAGCAGCCTTTCCCAAAAGCAGCAAACTCAGCTCCTAGCCATCTTCAAGAGCATGAGGTGCCTTGCGCAGCTTCCTGCGCGCTGCACGCGCCTTAATCCTAAGTACATGCAAAGAAGCCCCGAAGTGGTGGCTTATTGATATTGATGCTCTTCCACGAATCCGAGCCCGAAGCCCCATGACCGCGTTGCAATCCACTGACGTCGAAATGCTTTCAGTCGGTGCCTAAACAAAAACTCTTCAGGCCATGTCAAAACCCGTGACTACGTGCTGTGCTATCCGTCCACATCATGACTCGTACAGTGGCGTATGCTTCCCTGAGTGCTGCAGGATGTTCACAGCCCTATGATCAACCCTAAATCCAATCTAATTCTGCAAGTCTGAAGACAGTAGCCGCTTGCAGCCCTCTGCGTCCTGCGACGCTTGCGCCGTGTTCCTGTGCCGCGCTCACAGGCGCAGGATCCCTACCGATGGTGGTAGGAATTCGAGGAACCTGATTAAGAAACCCTGGGCCTACAACCCCCAATATATTAGGATTCATATAAGGAACTCCAGTCAAGGCCCAAGGTTTCTTAATCAGGTTCCTACGGTAGTCGTCGTCGTAGTGGCAGTGGTTGTGGTAGTGGCAGGAGTAGTAGCAGCACTCGCAGCAGTAGCAGCAGCAGTGGCGGTAGGCACGGGGCCTCTTTGCAGCATGAGCTACAACCCGTGGATCTCATTATCTCATCTTATAAAAAAATTGTATATATATATATATATATATAAATATATGTGTATATATATATATATATACATATATATACATATATATATATATATATATATATGTACACATGTATTATGGCACGGTCGAGTTGAAACCTACTATGTTGCAGCGTTTGAAGTTGCAGGGAGAGTCAGCTAAGCCTTTTTAAAGGCCTGAATCCTGGTAAGGCCCGCAAGAGGGATCCCAGCACTGCAAACCCTCAACCTGAACCCTCAAAAAACCTTCAAACCCTAAGCCCTCAACCCTGGACTCTAAAGGCCCTAAAGCTCAATTTAAGCTTCGAATCGAAGCCTGAGCCCTAGGAACCCAAAACCCTAAAGGGATCCTAAAGTCCTCAGGTCCTAAAGGGATCCTACCCTAAAGCCCTAAATCCTAAACCCTAAAGCCCTAAAGGGATCCTACCCTAAAGCAGCCGGTGGAGCCTTCGGATTCGGCACGCTCCGTGGGGAAGCCTGCCGAGATTGGGCCGGAGAAACACTATCAGTCATAAGTTAGAAGCTGCCCCCACCCTGTAATCGTGACCATAAGGATCATTAGGGCCCTATTATACTGCTATTATACCATTATTACAGGGTGGGGGCAGCTCCTAACCAATACTAGCAATAACAGTAGTACTCATACCAAGAATCACAGTAGTATGAAAAACAATAAAGGAAAGAACACCAATACTAATAATGCTACTATTAATTTCGTACATTGCTGGTAACAATAGCAGTACGAATAGTGACAGTAATAATAGCAGTAACAATACAAACACTAATGACAGTAACACTGACATTGACAATGACATTAGCGATTGCAATAACACGACTGATAACAGTAGTAGTATAAAGGGTACGAAACGACTAGAAAATACTTTCCGGCCTGGAGTGGCCGGGAAGGGAGCTGCCCAACCTTCGAATTTACAGTGGTGTCTTAGGGTTTAGGGGTTTAGGGGGCTTGGGGGTCAAGGGTTTGGGGGCTGAGGGGTTTGATTTAGGCACTCATCCAACATCCCGAACCTGCAGGCTCGCCTGCACCGTATATGGGTGGAAGTCAAAATTATGATTCCTTCTTGGTCCCTAGTATAGTACGGCACCCATTATTTAGGGTACCCGAAGAGGGACCATAATTTTGACAACTACCCAAATAGCTCCGTCGACCTCGACCCTGAGCCAACCAAACCCACCCAAGAAAGCAATCTAAGTTGTCGCCGAGTCGCTCGTCTGCCAAAGGCTGGCAGGCACCTGGCATCTGGCAGAATCAAGGGATGCTGCTAAACCCTAAACCCTCAACCCCAAACCTTAAGCCCGGAACCCTGAACCCTAAACTCTAAACCCTAAAGGATAGATTTGAAGAATTACTCGGAACTCCGCTGCAAACGGAAGGGCTGAGGTTATATGGCGTTGGTCTCATTCCTGTGTCTCCACTGCTCACTGGCGATGTTTAGATGAACATAGTACCATATTAAGGTGCTCTGAAGGATATCGGAAGCCTTGTAGGCACAGCTGCCAAAGCAAATTAAAGTATGTACCATAACCTTCAAAGACTTCAAACCTCATTAAGGCTAATGAATGCTGAGATTCTCTTTGCTTAGTTGTGAAGTTGTGAAGGCACGGTTTCATGGTGCATCAAATCGCAGAAATACCCGGCACCTTGCGGCGAGGATGGCTCGGCTTCGGTACCAATGTCTTGTAATATAGGAGCCTTAATAATTAGAATAGGCTTTTGGGGGATATTATGCTACAACTACAATTACAAATAGGCACCTCCAAGACCGTATTCTAATTATTAAGGCCCTACAATACCACATCTTGTTCCGGTGCTTATGTGATGTGTTCCTACGCTGTAAGAAAGCCGAATACGCACAACGAGGCGACCGTGATTGGTCAAGATGGTTTTTCTCGGGTGGTACTAAACTACGAGTAAATTCTACATTGCCCACTCGGCACACGAACAGAGCGCTCTCCCCGGCATTCCCCTGCCTCGTGGCGAACCGGAAAGCTCTCTGGCTCATCGATGTGCTTGTCGATGATGGCACACAGCCTCAGGACCGAATATAGGGAATATAGGGGCCTTAATAATTAGAATAGGGTTTGGGCATATTATACTATGACCATATAGCAAGGAACTCTAGGAACCATGTTCGTAATTATTTAAGCCCCTCTACTAGGGCTTCGGATGACTTTGAGCCCAGTTCCCGAGAATTCTCATGAAAGGGGCCAAGAGTCGCCCACAACCCTTTACATTGAAGACCCGGAAAAAACGTACTGGAGACTACCAAGGACACTAGTAGTAACTTTTTAGCCTTCTATACGATACTGTACTATATCGAAACCCTAGCCGACCCCCAATGCTGGAGCTGCCCTAAACTCTTAACCCCAGGCCCCCAAAACCCCGAACCAGGACATCCCGAAAGCCCTAAACCCCTCAACCCCTAATGATGGGAAGCCAAAAGAGGGGTCTAAGATTCTTGGGGTAGGGATTCCTGTATGTGAACCCGATTATGGGAACCCTAATCCCCACTAAACCCCCGTAGGCTAAACCCCCTTTTGGCCTCCTATGACCTAAACCCCAAACCCTAACCCCTCAACCCCTGAACCCCAAGGTCGCGGCTTGCGCCCCGTGCTGTTCGCGAGCTCCTGCGCATTGCGGTCTGCAAGGCAGGGTTTAGGGTTTAGGGTGTAGGGTTTACCCAGAGGCCCCAAAGTACTTCCTTTTTGGGATTACCTTATAGGATTCTATATAAGAACCCCAAAAAGGAACTACTTTGGGGCCTTTGGGTAGGGTGGGGTGGGCGAGTTAGGGGAAGGAAAAGCGCCGTCTCACGGTTTGCGGTTTAGGGGCCTTGCTCAAGACTTACACGTCCATAAAGGTTCTTTCAAAGCTTGTTTTGTTTTAGGGGCTTCGGCGTTCAGAAAAGTTCGATTGCGAAGAAGCCAGAGGTTTACTCTTTGCTTTTTGAGGCGAGTTCTCGTTAGGGATTTGGGAACTAACTTCAAGCCTAGGGCCGCAAGGACTAAGAGAAATCTTCCGCTCCCCTCCTATACCCTGGATATATCATTGTGTAGAGGCTCAAAGAGAGCACTCTTCAGAGTCAATTGTTGCGACTCCGACCTCTAATATCGGGGCCTTAATAATTAGAATAGGGTTTTGGGGCCCGCTACACTAGAGTTATAATAAGGAACCATCGAAATGTTGTTGTATCGCTTTAAGCCCCTATAGTATATCAAACCGCCGGGAGGAGTCCTGTCCATCGCGAGACAAGGTTACCTTGCCATCCTCGGCGAGGGGATTGCGAAGCTGCTGCACCTGGCGCCAGAGTTGACGGAATCAGGGGCTGCCTTACTTGGAGGATGGAGTTGAATTAAAAATATAGTTATCCTATTTATTACCCGAGTTACTGGGTGCCATGATCCTCTGAGCATCAGGAGGGGAAACCCAACCCAGCAGCCAAAACGAGAACTCGTTCGTGCTGTGCGGGTTGCAACAGATAGTCGAGACCATCGCTCTGGTCTTCTTCCAAAATCCTTTCATCAAGGTATCTCCTTCAATTCTAGAAGGATTTCCGTAGAAGGATTCCCGATATGAATTAAGGTATATTCCTTAGTTAAGGATAACGAACGGATTTTGGACGGTGTTGGAAGCCGTTGTCAGTGCCGCAACCGTCGTCGTCGCAGAGGAGTATGCCGGGGCCGAGGATTGTTCTCCGGACACCTGGACAGACTGTACGGTCGTGTATTGCGGATGGCAGTTGCCTGCATGACTTAATACCCAATGAATTCCAAACAAGCACGCCCAGTTGCACAGAAGCGTCCCTCACAAAAAGAACAATGCCTGAACATAAGTCTGCACCCAATGAAACACACATGCATTGCTGCACAAAAGTCTAAGCCCCAAAGCCCTGAACCACAAATCCTAAAAATCTAAAAATTGAAAGCTCGCCAGGCGCTAAAACCTTCAAGACCAAAGCCCCAAGCCCCAACCCTTACTTAAAGGTTCATGGGACTTAGTAAGTAAGGTTATAAGTAGGTTGTAATTAGGATAACCCCACTTTGGGGACTTAAAAACCCCAGTGAAAACCTACGTACTAAGTCCCATGATCCTCTAAGAATGCGGAGGTCATAGACAGCCGGCAGAGTTCCTCCCCCAAAAACTGGTACCTCTCTGAAGGGGAGGTCGTGTAGACGCATCCTTGGTGTGGTTCAGCAGGGTTTAGGGCTTCAGGGCTTGCAGGGTTTCTCTGGCCGCGGGTTTAAGCCTTTATAGGGCTTTAGGATGTATAAGGTTCAGGGTTCTAGGGCTTGAAGGTTTGGGGTTCCAAGCTTTTGGGTTTTGCTTAAGGCTTTCGGGTTTTGGAGCTGCCAGTGTCGACACCCCAGCTCCTAACTCGTGACCCCTGCGCTTCTACTTCTGCAACCACATCCGACATCGTACACTCCGAAATGGAAGAATAGGAAACTCCCTTTTCTAAATTCTCTACATGCCTAAATCCGCAACTCCTAAACCCGAAATGCCCTACTCCAACTCCCGATACCACTTGAAACCCGAACATATGTTCAACACTTGCATCTTGGGTTTGAGGCTTTAGCCGTGCTCCAAGATGGCGCTCTGGGAAACGTATGGCTGACCCCTCAGCCCCAAACCAACTTTGCATGTAAAGCTTTCTGCAGAGTGCAAAGACTCGGGTTTAGGTGTAGCTTTGGGCATTTAGGCTTGGGGTTTTGCGTTCCAGCCAGAAATGTCACATTGAGCATACTGTAGAGGGTCTGAATAATTAGAATAGGATTTGGATACTATAGATATATCACTGAACCCTCACAATAGTAAAGGCGCCCATGATAGGATGCAAACGAGGAGCCACTCCACATCGAACAGCCTGCCGAAGCCATTAAAAGGATCTGTACCTCTGCAGCATGATCTGCACAGGGTTGATGTGGGAGATTCCGAAAACTAGGGGTACCTTATTTTGGGGTCCTCGTAACAGGGATCCTAGTAATTTAGGGTGCTATGCTGGGGTCCCCTATTGCAGGAAAATCCCATGTGACGCAGTCTTCAATGTCGTGGGCTCAAGTATACGCCAAATAAATACGGGGTGCCAGCAAAATCTAATCTGTTGGGAACCCCGCAATAGAGGCATTTTATCACCTAGACTGGTGGGTTCGGATGCGGAATGGTATACTTGTAATGAGGAGCCCTAGGGCCCTAAGGCTTTGAGGAACAGTATTGCTAACTATCCATGCTTCGAGTTGACTCGAGCGAGCATGGAAAGCTGGAACATCATTATCCTCGTGCCCCTAAAGTAAAGTATAGGGAATCCCAGCAAGAATCATCCTAAATCCATGTTCCAACTTTCTGGGGTTGACTATATGAAGCCTGAACTGCCCCTAAACCCTTGAAGTTTCCATCAAATGGGCTCTTAAGCCCCGAAGCCCTACTTGAAACCACGATAAACCCTGAACCTCAAACAACCCTAAACCCGAAACCCTAAACCCTAAATCCTAAACCCTGAACCCTAAATCCTAAACCCTAAACCCTAAATCCTAAACCCTAAACCGTGCTTCGCAACCAGTCCCACTGTGACCAGAACCCCGCAACCTCCAAACCGGGTCTCTGCAAAGCCCCGGCTCCCTCTGCGATTTGTGCCGTTCACCCTCGACCGAAAGCCTCAGACCCTTCAGGGTTTAGGGTTTAATATAGGGGCCTTGAGAATTGCGTATACTGTTTTGGGGGTTGCTTATTAAAAAAAAACAACTCTAATTAGTAGAATATACCTCTAATTCTTAAGGGTCCTATATTAGGTTCTAGGGTTCTTAACCCTAAACCCAAAGCCCCAAACTCTAAACCCTGGACCTGGACCCCTAGACTTCTCGTCAACTGGCGCCTTTTGCGGGGTATTTACAGTCAGTGGGGAACCCTGTAACCCTGAACCCTAACCCCTAAACCCTATAGACCCTAAACCCTAAATCTTTGTGTTATTTCAGGCCCCCATTGCATCCTCAAACTCAGGATCAAACTCAAAGCCCGTAGGCAACACATGAACCCAGCTGGGCTACATGGGGATCCTAGCGATTGAACAACTCTCTCTTCTTCGAACGACCAGCTTAACTCTTCCGCAGTAGCAAAAGGCGGAAGCAGGCTATGGAATCAACTTCACAGCCATAGCCACACTCATACTCCAATATCGTCGCCGGCATTAGAACACTTGGCAAGATTACATACATATATTTCAACCTGTACCTATGTTATCCTATGCTCCTTACCATCATCGTCATCGTCGCCTGCCCTCACGCATAAGGCCGCGAGAAGCCACGTCAAAGTGAGGATCTTATGCCAACATCCTGCTGGCCCTTATAATGTCGATGCTGAGCGGACCCCTACATCCATAACCTCAAATATTTAACTCCACAAATCCTGCGAGATGCTTCTCCCAAGCAGGTGAACAGAACCCGCGACGCGCCTCTGAGCTGCGACCTGCCCACAGCGCTCCTCATCTTTGCATAGCCTCTCAGCTGAGCCACAACCAAGAGCCATGACCAAGGACATACTGATGAAGGGGCCTCTGTAACTGGAACGGATTTGTGAGTAGAACCTTTCCAGGGCGTTGTCATGGATTTTGTAGATTTGAGAACATGGGGGCTGAACCGTTACAATGGGCTTTCGAGAGTACCACAAAGCCAGCCCACCATGCTCGCAAAGGCTGCAGCTGCAACAAACCTAACCCTGCACACCCGAAAATGCCATGCCACGAGTTCACCTAAACCCTAAACCCGAACCCACAAACCCTGAACGCTGACCCCTAAACCCTGAACCCCAAAAGCAACAATTCACACCGGAGCCCTGGCCTTTGAACCTCAATTTCACATAAATCCTACCGACTTGTCGGGTATCTTGGGGAACTAAAGGTTAACTTTTTGGGGGTTTATAGGGATTATATAGGGGCTGTGCTGCCCCCAAAAAAGGTTAAAGGTTACCTACTCTACCACTAGGCTTACCAAGGCATCAGTTCGAGCTTAAGCCCGGCAACCTCATCCTCAAACCCATGGCCCTTTTAGGGTTTAGGGTTTAGGGTTTAAGGTTTAGGGTTTAAGGTTTAGGGTTTAGGGTTTAGGGTTTAAGGTTTAGGGTTTAGGGTCCCTGAACCCCAAACCTTAAACATCCGCACCCCCCTAGACCCTAAACCCCAATAGCCTACTTAGAGGATCATGGGACTTGGTAAGTAGGCTATAATTAGGGTTACAATCGGTTGCAAGTCCCCCAAGTGGGGTTATCCTAATTATACCCTACTTATAACCTTACTTCCTAAGTCCCATGATCCTCTAAGTATCCAGACTCCCCAGTCCCCTGTGCTATAACCTGAATACCTACGATTAAAGACCAGAAGGGCTCGAAGTCTTGGTTGTCCCTAAACTTCAAACTTCCGCCCTGCTATACTGAACTTTAGACCCCCAGCAACAATTGAAATTGTTAGCTGTCTCTTAGGGAGCATAAAGCCCTAAAGCCTCTTGAAAGGATCCTTTCAGAAATCCTCTACTTACTGATCTCTCGAAGTAGACCCTACACCCTAAACCCCATAGATCCCAGTGAGGAACCCTCAGTAGGGGAACCCGTTAAGGTATTTCTTAGTACCTCTACAGTAGAAGCCCAAGAGATGGAAATCCAATAGCCTCAATCCGTAAGAGTACTGTATAGGGAATGCCAGCAACGTTATGGAACTTACTGGACACCCTTAACCCCTAGGCCCTGATGCCTAAACCCTAAACAAGGCGCCCTATACCCTGAACCCCTACAGCCTAAACCCTGTCAGGCCTATATAAACCTTTAAGTCATTTCTTTGGGTACCCCTAATCCCTTGGGAAGTCTGGCCTTGGAAAGCGTCGCTGCGCTGGACGGAGAAGAGGAGGAAGACTGTACAGCCGCTGCGGTAGGCCTGCTTGGAGGGTCGGGGGACTTAGTAAGTAGGTAGTAAGTAGACTTACAAGTACCCTAAAAGGGACCCTAATTGGGGTTATGGTACTTATAAGTCCTTAAAATAACCAGCTACTGAGCCCCCCGACAATCCTGGTGTTGATTGAAGCATTCTATCTGAGGATGTAAGAACCTGCGGTTCTGTTGATTCAAGCTTCTATTTGGAGACCTAAGAACCTGCTGCTCTGCTGATTTTAGCGTTTATTTGGCGATCTAAACACCTGCCGTTTAAGGGTTATACGCTTTATATAATTAAGAATGTTAAGGGTCATGACCTACCATTTCGTAGGGCTTGGGGCTGCAGGCAAGTTCATAAACATTGAGAGTTCCCGAAGTAATGGGTTCTTACCCTGGTTCTTACAATCTAGTATCTTTGCCTAAGGCTAAGGTCCTCTCTTTTCTGAAACTCACCGTTTAAGGATTCGGACGGGTTTAGGGCTATCACAGCTTCCAGGAGTATTGACGAAGCGAGTCGGGTCGTGTTTTAGGATTCAGTGAAGGAGGTCTTGCTTCCAAAGTTTCCTTGAATATTTGAATATAGGGGTTCAACACTAGAATTGGGGTTTCCGGTATGCTATGCCAGAGGTGGTATAGGAACCCGAAGGAATAGTATTCATCATTGTTAATCTTGTGTTTGCTTCATTCTCTTTGGACCCTGATCACCTGCGAACTCCCAACTGTCGCCTTTCCTGAAACTTCTCGAATATGGAGAGGCCTTAATGACTCGAAGTGGGGCTTGGAGTATGTTATAGCATAGCTATGTTCGGGCTATACTTACACGATTAGTTTAGGATTCCCGATTCTGGGTTCGGGGTTTGCAAACAGGCCTCAAGCAATGAGGGCTTGTTGTACGGGTTCAGGATTCCGTAAGCCCTGAACCCTGAACCCCACATGATGACCATATATAGAACTATGATTATAAATATATATATATATATATATATAAATATATGTATATATATATATATATATACATATATATATATATATACATATATATATATATATATATGTATATATATATGTATATATATTTATATATATATATATATATATATATATTATGGATGTATGTATGCATGTATCTATATGTAGTTATGTATGCATATACATATCTGTGTATGTAAAAACCATATGTGTATGACCATATCACGATTTTCGGGTCCTCCGACCCCATCGACCAGGGAAGCCCGGCCTCATTCAGCTTCTGCTCATTCTTCCGCTGCGTCGCCCACACGTTGTGACCTCGACTCGGGGCCTAAAGAAGGGAGGCGACAGTCAGTCCGAAACAGGGCTTAGGGGTTTAGGGTTTAGGGTTCAGGGTTTAGGGGTTTACGGTTTAGGGGTTTAGGATTTAGGGTTTAGGGCTTGGGGTTTGGAGTTTAGGATTAAGTGGGTTTTGCGGCTTGACCGGAAACCCAATAAAGCGCACTCTAACCACCTCCTAAACCTAGATTTTGGTTATGCAACAACAACTTGACATGGCAAGGAAGCATCTTGTCTATCATAGGTCCCTATCATGGAAACGCAAAATCAGTTGCGCACTCTTAGAACCTTAGAAGTTTCAATCGCCAGCCTCATGGCCTCCCCCAGTGTAGGGGCTTCATACGGTTGATGATATAAATCCTGCATGACCCATTATAAGGAATATACCATAATTCCCGTAGTTTAGGATCCTTAAGGGAATGCAGGATTTATATCATCAGCCGTAAGTAGAGTAGGGTTTCGGGTGATGCAATAGAAGCAATTGTTGTAATATGTAGTCCTAAAGAACTGTATCGCTTATCATTTCAGCCCCTGCACGACCCAGGAATTCGGGTAGAAAGCTTCGAAGCCTGAACTTCAGTCGACTGGCTCAGTGTCGACCTTCCAGAAACTACCCCAAATCCTAAACCCTAAGCCGTTTAGTGGTTCGGGTCTTCGGGCTTCTTAAGACGTCCTTTCACTGAGGATCCCGCGATTTAGGCTTTAGGGTTTCCGGTTTAATATGGGTCAACTGTCATGGAAGAAGCCTCTGTCAATCAGTTGAGACCCGGTGCAGAGACATGGGAGATTCCGAAAATAGGGGACCCTAATATAGTGCCCTAAATAGTAGGATCCTTATTATAAGGACCAGAATAAGGTACCCCTAATTTTCGGAAACTCCCACACAGGCCGAAGGGGCGGAACCTCGACAGAACCAAATCTAAACCCAAAGGTAAACCTATTTAATTAAACATACTGGACACGTTTGAGAAGGCTCGTCTTTAAAACAGCAAGCTTGGACAGACTTTCATGCACCGGGTCATCAGCCCTCATTCACTCACAAGATACTGACTGTGCGCTCAGAACACCCCACAAAGCGGCCTGAAATTGGGAAGCTCAAACCAAGGCCGAAAATCAACAACCTCTTCTGACACTTCTACACTATTGAAGATAATGACTACCCCTCAGTCTGGATCAACTCTTCTACATCGCTGAAGGGAAGCACCCTTTAGTTTGATAGCTTACTCCTGAGCTCTCGGGGCATTGCCGTCCTGACGAAGCTCACTAGCCTATCACACTTTCTGGCGTCTAGTAGCAGGCCGAGGAAAAGCCTTCTCTGGAAGCCCCGGCAGTCCATGCGCAAGACAGCCTAAACATCACGCCCTAAGCTGAAGACCCCGCAATTTTTTAAGGTGAAAACCGAAAGAAGCCCTCTGCATGCTCAGGCAGCAGCGGATAGATTTCACAACCTGGGAGGAGAACAGATTCTGGCTAGGCGTGCCTGGTTGGACTTGCTAGAAAGCTCTGTTGCCGAAGGAGTGACATCTAAGTGTGGCTGCAAGAATCACTATCGAACAAACGCATGTCTACCGCCTCGGGCATGATAACTCCAGTGGAAAACTAATCTTCAGTTTTACTTCACCTCGGCGGAAAACAGGGCAACCGAAGAGTTCACGATGAATCTTGCCCACTTCTGCAAACCCTACCATAATCCCGAAGAGCCTACATTTTTAAGGACTTCTATAAAGAAATCATATTAAGGAGCCCTAAAATGGTAGGTTTTGCAGGGTTAAGAGAGGACGGGTGGCTGAGACCTTCGTCTCCAGATGTCGCTGCTCAGGGTTTAAACACCCCAAACCAACTACATTTTTCGGGATCCTTGCTCTGATTGCCTTACATTCTTCCTCAGAAAAAGGGTAGGTTTACGGGTAATATAGGGGCTTTAAAACTTAGAATAGGGCTTTGGGGCGCAATATACTATAACTACAATAAGGAACCTTCAAAATCCTAAACTATAGAACCCCGCTAGAGATGCCTATACACCCATTAAGGCCCCTATATACCCTAAACTTAAACCCTAAACCCCAGGGTTTAGGGTTTAGGGCTTAGGGTTCAGGAGTATGTCCAGAGAATCGGCAGGAGGGCGCTGGACCTCTCGGGAAGGTCGTGGGTTCGGGGGTTTTACGGACTGAGAGCCCGCATCTTAGGTCAGGGTGTTTGGGGTTTATAGCGGTTTAGTGGTTTATAGGGTTTACAGGGTGTATAGGGGTGTAGAGTTTAGAGGGACCTAAAGCCCCAAAAGCAAATTCAAGAATGGCCCAAGACCTCTTGAAGGGTATTGTTCGACATGCTTTTGGGGTCCAGGTAGACTCGAGGAGTCGAAACAAGCAGCAATAATTTATTAATAATAGTGCTGATTACGACTTATATGAGACAAGAAAATGGTAATCATAGCTACTGCCAGGTCATGTATGCTGATAAATTCCAATGAATAAGATGGAACTTAGCATTGAAATATTCGAAACCCTACCTGTAGCCAAAAAGAGCGACACCCTGGAACTCCGAGAATGGAGCGTTGGACTCATGGGGCACCCCTGATTATAAAGTTCTTGTAACAATTGTAAGTCTTGTCACGCTCGAACTCCTAATGTGGCCGGCGCCTTGGACTGACGAGGAGCCCCTGATGTTGAAGCAGCCACTCTCTGATATATCCTGACATATACTTACGTAATATATATATATATATATATATATATATATATATTATAGATATTAAATAGCAATATATATATATATATATATATATATATATATATATATATACATATATATATAACAATATACTATATGCAATATACATATATATATAATGTACATTATGTATCTATACACAATGTATTTCAATTATGATATATATTATACATATATATATATATACACACACTTTTCAAGTATAATACATAGTACCTAAAAATCAATATTAACATAGAATATATATATATAGTATAAAAAACAGCAAATATACATACATACATACATACATAAAAACATACATACATACATATATATATACACATATATATATATATATATATTAGTACGTGTAGAATATAAAATCATAAAATTTATTGTAAAACAATATGGTATAAAAAGTAGAATAGTTTAATACAATATAATATAGTACATATATATGTATGTATTATATTATACTACATTGTATTATACTATATTATATAATACTAAATAAAATATTTATGATGTAAACACTGTTTATGATATACTATATATATATATACACTATATATACAACATACAAGAATATTGATTATATAATATATGATAAATTTTAAATAACATGTAATATATATATATATATATATATATATATATATAATATGTATAAGTAATATATAATATATAATATACGATATATAACCAACAATATATAATCTACAATATAGTATATGTATATAATTTCGTATAATATCAACCATGATACACTATAATATAGAGTATATGTTATGTAATATATAATATACATAATATATTATGCAAAATTTACATAATATAATATAACAGATTATAATGAAAACAAACTGTATAATGTAATCTCATGTATGATATAACATCATATAACGTAATATGTTATATTATATATATATATATATATATAGATATACATATCACCCTGGAAATGTGATACGCTGCCTCGGCCATGACCTTTAAAGTCAGAACACATATGACCCGTTGAACTCCGCAGGTGGTGGCTTGGACTGCATGATGGGGAGCCCCTGATTCTACCATCAGAACTCGAGTGTATCTGAGAGCCGAGCGCGTCGAGCGACGCCGAGCGTCGAGCGACGCCGAGCTGCGCCGAGCGTACTCGTCGGCGCTCGGCGGCGCTCGGCTGCGCTTGGCGGCGCTCGGCTGCGAGGATTTTCGTATACGACCGCGCCACCGCCACAATCGGAAGACCTGCCTGTTGAAGGAACTATATATGGGTGGTTGTCAAAATTATGGCCCCTTTTTGGGTACCCTAAATAATAGGTGCCGTACTATAATAGGGACCCAAAAAGGGACCATAATTTTGACAACCACCCATATAGAAAACTAAATAAGGAACCCTGAAAAGGTAGGTCTTTTCGGCTGCAGGTACACCTCAAACCCGGATCCGAAGGTGCAGTGCTCAGATATGGCATCTGCGGAGGCCGAGGGTCCGACGTTCTCGGCGCTGTTGCCTGAGAGTTTAGATGGGTTTAGGGTTTAGTGTTTAGGGCTGGCTACCCTAAACCCTAAATCCTAAACCTCAAACCCCAAACCTAAGCCCAAAAAAGGAACGACAATGGCGACCAGAGGCAGCCCTTTGGGGATAAAGGCTTTGGGGTTCTTTTGGGTTCAGCCGCACCAGCTGTGGAGATACAGGATCCCACAGGGTCCATATACACTACCATTAAGGAGTTAGGTCCCCAAAATCAGAATAGGGATGGTCTTTTGGGACCTTATTCCATAATGGTTATGTATACAAACCCTAAACCCTATAGAACCCTTAACGGAACCCTTTAAGGAGCCCTTAAAGGAAGACCTATATGATTCCATAATCGAAGTGTCTATGGGCCCTCTGGGTGTGGGCTCCCGCGAGGAGGTTTGAGGTTGACTTACGCCCCACATCTCCGGGATAGGAACTCAGAGGGTATTGTACGGGCCTTAGTAATTGGAATAGGGTCCCGTTTAATGGCCCCAGAAGGGTTACTAATTGGGCTCCACAAGGGTTACTGATGGAATCTAGATTTTTAATAGGGTTCTATAATGTACGGGCCTTAAGAAATTAGGATAGGGTTTCTGCGGCTCCTTAATTATACTATAATTCCAAGGCCTCTAGATAATTGTGGATCGTTTGGATTTGGGTTTGGGGTTCTTGTGAGCCCTGGACCTGAACCCTCATGGAAATGGAGTTTTGGATCTGAGATCTGGAAACAGTGTGCGGATCAAACACATAGTCACACAGTCGGGAAACCCAACAGCCTAAACCCGGAACTAAGTCAGGACAGGGATGTCCGGATATCTCATCTAGACCCCCTTATCATGAAGCCCAATAAGGGAGGGATATCCTGTAAACTATTTATGTTTATGTCGTTTGAAACAATGTTAAGCCCTGAAAAGGCGTAAGCCTTCCTTTCCGAAAGCGGGTTGGTATACAGGGCCTTGTGCAAGCACGACTGTTACCGGTCTGTCGTCGGCAAAACTGCGCAGTCAAAGGGGAGACCTGCTTATAGGGGCTTCAGAAGATCCCGCACGGCAGTACTGTCACCACCAACGAAAGAAGAACCCCAGGTCACGACGGATCCATCACCAAGAATGGCAGCTAAAGCACCGGCAGAGGCTTGGATCTGCTGCACATTCTTCAGCTGATCCTGTACGGCACTACTGTCACCGCCACAGCGAGCATCACCCCAGGTCACAACGGATCCATCACCAAGAATGGCAGCAAAAGCATCATCCGAGGCTCGGATCTGCTGCACGTTCTTCAGCTGATCCTGCACGGCACTACTGTTACCACCATGGAAAGAAGGACCCCAGGTCACGACGGATCCATCACCAAGAATGGCAGCAAAAGCACTGGAAGAGGCTTGGATCTGCTGCACGTTCTTCAGCTGATCCTGCACGGCACTACTGTTACCACCATTGAAAGAAGAACCCCAGGTCACGACGGATCCATCACCAAGAATGGCAGCAAAAGCACTGGAAGAGGCTTGGATCTGCTGCACGTTCTTCAGCCGATGTGCACTACTGTCACAACCGAAGCCAGCATCACCCCAGCTGACGACGGATCCATCACCAAGAATGGCAGCAAAAGCACCGGCAGAGGCTTGGATCTGCCGCACGTTCCTCAGCTGATCCTGCACGGCACTACTGTCACCGCCACGGCGAGCATCACCCCAGGTCACAACGGATCCATCACCAAGAATGGCAGCAAAAGCACCGGCAGAGGCTTGGATCTGCTGCACATTCTTCAGCTGATCCTGCACGGCACTACTGTCACCACCAACGAAAGAAGAACCCCAGGTCACGACGGATCCATCACCAAGAATGGCAGCAAAAGCACCGGCAGAGGCTTGAACTGTAACTGTGTTTACATGTAGGGTTAGTAAATCACCTTCCTCCAACCTTGCACGCTTGATGGGTGCAGATGCATCCAGAACTCCGGAGGAGCCCACGAGCCGCCCTCGTCCGACTCCGAGTGCGATCTCTGCCCGGCGTTTCAGCGCTCCGACTTCTTCATCCACGCCTGCCTTCACAGTGGCGGTCTTGCCGCTGAGCAGCCCAACGTCCACTGTAATCGACATCTTGCCAGGCAGAACTGGAGCTACACAGAGCGTCCCGTCGGGGCTGGGATCTTCGGACTTGTGGTCATGCGTTTAGACATTTGGGGCTCAAGGGCTTGAAGTTTAAGGGATCGTAGACCTTTCCGGGTTCTCCAAGTTCTTTAGTTGGAAGATGAAACTTGGCTTGCGAAAGGGCGGGCTACCATAGACGCCTGAATAATTGCAGTACTGTACTATTCCTGACAGCTCCGGCTCCGTATTGTAATTAGCATTCCATTGAATACCGGAAAACCCTATTCTGCCGGGTAACCTAGCAAGGCCTTGCGGTGACATGGGCCTGCCAAGAAGCCCTGCATGACAGCTTTGCATGGCAGCTTTGACCTTGCTGTATCTTCACGCAGGCGGTCGAGCCAAACAAATGAGCCAAGAAACGTGACGCGCGGAGTATATGATAATTGCCTAAACAATCATCATTGTAGTTCCTTGTTGGGGGTTACCGTATTCTCAGGATCCTAAACATGAACGTGGATGAAGCAACAAAGGCAACTACATGTAGAGGACAGGTTACAGTGATTTGGACCTGCGTGCTTTTTCGATTGAACCGCGCAAACACATTTGCTGGGTCTAACAACCAGCTTTTTGCGGCAACGGCCTGGAGGGTGGAGGAATCAAGAACTTGAAGCTCAACGAAGCTAAGGGGAAGAATTCAGAAAACCCTGGTCAGCTCGAAGCTTGTCTCGGGGCTTCAAGCTTAGGCCTGGACACTGGCTTACAGTTTAGGGCTTAGGCTTTGGGGTGTAGCGTTTTGGGTTTAGGACTCAGAACCAATCTTAACATCCCACAGGAAACCTCCAGCACATGCCATCTTAACCCAGATCGCTGCATGCCGAAATAAACTAACTAGCAAATTATGGCCCTGAGGGTATCTGTCTAATTGGTGGCCAAACTTTTGCAGTACGTCCATGGTGGCCTATTCGATCATAGCCCGACAATGGCAAATTAAGAGCTCCCACACGAAAGATCTCCTTCAGTCAAGCTGCTCGTGATCACAAAGTACCGAGCATCGTCAGTGTGGAGAGTCTTCCAGAAAGGTGCTTCCAGGTTATATATATATATATATATAATATTATCATATGTGTGTGTATATACATATATGTGCTCCTCTAGACCCTACAGCATTTCAGCAGAACAGACGCCGCCAAATCCCTCTTATGCGTCTTCAGGACCAATATTTCAAGCTCAGAGCTCATGCTCAGGCGCGTCTTCATCTTCAGCCGTGTAAAACAAAAAGCAAATAAACATTCTTGATGTATACCGGCTAATACAACGGTCACCATACTGGTTACTCTGCTCGTTTGTAACACTTTGTATACTGTAGAGGCCTCAACAATGAGAATAGGGCTTTGGGGCCCGATTGTACTATAATTACAATAGGGAGCCCCCCCAAACTAGTATAGGTAACTACTTAGGCCCTTATACTACCTTACACAACCATTGCTGCATTACAAACGTTCAATGACATGTCTCGCATAGTAGCAGCTTCCTAGGCTTTTGCCTTCGCAGCTTCCTAATTACGAACCGGGATAAGCCCTGAACAGTAATGGCCAAAAAGTTGTGGTAGCAGAAAACATGACACCCAAGAACGAGTCCAACCATAAGCCTTAAGCCCAAGACCCTCATGATTTAAGGACGCCTGGACCGCCTGCCGTTGACGCGGTCGGCCCTCGCCAACCTATTCGGAGATGGAGCTTCTCAATGTTTCTCAACGCTTGCAGCAATTTGCGATTCATGGGCCGGGGTTTAGTGTATAGGCCTTGATAATTGCAGAAACAGGAACCCCCCAAAATAATGTTCTAAATGGGAGTTTCCGAAAATTAGGGTACCTTATTTCGGGGTCCTTATACTAAGGATCCTACTATTTAGGGTACTATTAAAGGGTCCCCTATTTTTGGAAACTCCCAAGTGACTCAGGCTACTGAAGGACAGGTGGAAGATCTCTTTGTTCTTCGGAGGGGCCCACAGCTCGAAAACCTGAAGCCCTGAAGCCCTGGAACCACCAAAACCACTAAAACAACTGAACCCCATACCCTTGCAGCCTAAACTCGTGGAAACACTAAAGCACTAAACGCCCTACACCCTTTAAGACTAAACCCCTGGAAACACTAAAACCACCAAAAACACGAAAAACCGCTTAACGACCCTTACAGCCTAAACCCCTGAAGCCAATGCCGGCATCCGATGCTGAGGGCTTTCACGCGAGCTTTCCGGCCTTCTGATGCACGGCCTTAATAATTAGACTAGGGTTCTGTTTAAAGGGTTCTCTTAGTTCTCGTAAAGGGCTTCCATACGGGATCTATAGTAAGGCTATAGTAGACCCCTGATTGATATCCCTCCCTTTCCCTTGAAGGGATTGTATTATTAGGGATCCTGATATCAAGGTCTTTCAAGTATTTAATCTGAACCAAGGGTAAACGGAGGGACCCTTAATAAGGACCCCAGGTATATACCCTGAATATAGCTATTAAACACCCATTATTTGGCCCATTATAGGGTAGGGGTCCCCAGTAAGCGTCCCTCCTTTACGCCTTTGAATCTGAACCCTACAACCCACAAACACCAAACCCGTGTATTCATCAGTCTTTCAAGTAATCAGGGGTCGGAGACTGGGAGAATCCGTTTGGGGCTCAGGGGCGGCTTCGGGCTTGGGGTTTAGGGATTTAGGGCTTTAGGGTTCAATATTGGGTCGATATGGGTAGTTGTCAAAATTAGGGTCCCTTTTGGGGTACCATAAATATTAGGTGCCGTATTTCAATAATGACCCAAAAAGGGACAGTAATTTTGACAGCCACCCATATGGCAGCTTCGAAGGAAAATATTGGAGTCTATAGTGTTTCGACTCCAGGCAGCAAGTAAGCGCTAGCCCTTGTTCGGAGTGGCAAGGCCGGCGCCAGGTGTGGAAAGAGGCCCTGCCCCAATGCACACCAGAAGCGCGAACGAGTTTTGGGGGGTTTAGGCCTGAGTGTTTGTCCTAAATGCCCCTTGAGGTCTGTTGGCCATGCTCCCTGAGCCCTGCACCCTGAAACCTGACTGAGCAGCCAACGTCAAAGGGCGATGCCGGGACGTGCGCGTCGAAAGGCGAAGCATCGAACGGTGATGCTGCAGTACCTTCGCCCCCTAAACCCTAAACCTTAAACCCTAAACCCTAAACCCTAAACCCTAAACCTTAAACCCTAAACCCTAAACCCTAAACCCTAAACCCTAAACCGTGGCCAAGGAGGGTGTGAGGATTCAGGGCTTTGGGGGCTTAGGGGTTTGGAGTTCATGGCTTTCGGGGGAAGTGTCTGGGAAGAAGATCCGGGCTACAAGGAATGCGCTGCGCCTGAAACTTGGTCCATCAGGTCTTCATCAAGCTGTGTAGAATCATGTCGAGTAGGCGGGAATATCAAATCTTGATAGACGCACCGGAAGGAAAAAGCGGCCGTAAGAACAAACAAGCCGCCTGCATCACAGGAAACTTTAAACAGCACCACAACACGGGTTCACATATACGCTAGCCAAAGCAAAACAGCAAAAAGACAATACACATACGGCTGATGATATAAATCCAGCATTACCTTAAGGACTCTAAGCTATGGGAATTATTGCATATTCCTTATTATGGGTAATGCAGGATTTATATCATCAACCGTATGATGGTTCCAGCAGTCGACTTCCGGCTTGTAACCGAATAATGTAGGAGCCTTAACTCAAAGTGTAAAAGGAGGGACCCTTAATGGGGACCCCTAGGTATATACCGACCCATAATATGGCCATTATATACCCATTATATAGACCATTATAGGGTAGGGGTCCCCGTTAAGGGTCCCTCCTTTTCCCCTTTGATTAACCCTAAGGCTCCAGGGACTCATATTGTAAGGTTTTTGGGCCCAAAGACCATACTATATCAGGCTTTTGGGCTATTTTGAGCCTGAGGGTAAAGGCTTAAACGAAAAGGGGTGTTAGCAAGCTATAAGCATTTGGGTGGTTGTCAAAATTATGGTACCTTTTTGGGCACCCTTAATGTTAGGTGCCGTATTATATTAAGGACCCAAAAAGGGACCCTAATTTTGACAACCACCCATATGTAACTCTAAACCCTAAACCCTTTAAAGAAACCCTTATAGATCCCTTTAAGGAGCCCTTTAAGGGACCCCAGGGACGCAACCCTGGCACTCCAAGAGCCTTGAGGAAGGTCTTTGAGTTTTGGTTTTCCCCGCCGGCCCCCAAAAGTCCTAATCAGCCCCTCTTAGAGGATCATGGGACTTAGTAAGTAGGTTATAATAAGGGTTATAAGTCCCCTAAGTGGGGCTCCCCTAATTATAACCTACTTATAACCTTACTTACTAAGTCCCATGATCCTCTGAGCTTTTAAGTCCCGAAACCCTATACCCTAACCGAAGCTTCCCTAAACCCTAAACAAAACCCAAAGCCCTGCGACAAAAATTGGCACTGCGCTCGCAAGCAACTGGTTCTGTCTAAACTTGGCGGAGGGGCTCGCGATCCATCCTTCCATTTTCTCAAACCCGGTTTGGGTTTAGGGTTTAGAGTTGAGGGTCCAGCTTCGCAATCTCCTGGCTGCGATCCAGCATGCTGTAGCATAGCTCAAGGCACGTCTTCTGCACATTCAGGCCCGAACAGCAAAGTGTCGTCCAGCAACATCCTGAACCCTTCGAAACCTACCCTTTTGGGGTTCCTTAATATGACTTCCTTATGCAAGTCCTTAAACAGGTAGGTAGTTTAGCGTCCAGGAAGGAAAAGCTCTAGGCTAATGTCCCCGACAAGGCACTTCGGCTGTCATGTGGGAGTTGCGCGAATATTCTCACTCTCACTCACTCACTCACTCACTCTAAGCGCCTGCAGCCCATGCGATCCTGTAAACCCTAAACCCTAAAACCCCCTTAAACCCTCAACCCTAAAAGTATTGAACCCCTACCTGTGGCCCAAACGACCTATATTTAAGGAACTTTATATGGAAATTATAAAAAAAGAACCTTAAAAAGATAGGTCTTGTCGGCTACAGGTAGGCCCTAAACCCTGAAACCCTCTACCCGGCGACAATCACACGCAGGCCGAAACCCGAAATCGCAAGCACAAGCCCTCAACAAACCATAACATACGCCCCAGGGTTAGGGTTTAGGGTGTCGGGCTTCGGGATTTAGGGCTTACCTGTAACGTACCTTTTTGGGGTTGCCTAGTATGGTGTCCATCTGCACTTCCTGAAATAGGTAGGTCTTTTGGGCCACAAGTATGCCCTAAGCCCTAAACCCTACTACCGAATCCTAAAGGCTAAACCCAGAGACGCCAATATCCCTTAATGACGAAATATTCCTCGAACCATCTTATAAAGGACCCACTAGAATTCATAAGATCTATTCCAAGTCCTTAATTAAAGGATATTGGAGTCTCTGGGAAGTTCGCTCCAGGAGCCTAAAAGCCACCAAGCCGAAATCCGAAACCTCAAAAAAAAGGGTTCCTTTAAGGGGATTCCTTTGGGGGTACTCTAGGGTTCTGTATTTGGTCCCCCTTAAGGGCACACCATAGGCTTCTATCCGAAAGCCCCAGTCCTAATACCCGAAACGAAAGGCACCAACCCTTAACTTATGCTGACAAAGCAAAAAGCCTCTACTTATACCCCACACTGACATAGGTAGTACTATTAGGGAGACCCCTGAAAGGGTACCCCTTCTGAACCCAACTTCTGGCTCTCTTAAAAGGAGCCTTATTGAGAGGGTCTATGTCCCCAAGGGGTCCCATAATCCTAACTCCCATGACACCCTAAATCCTAGATATTGAACCTATCATCCTCTGCTCTAAACCCTAAGTCCTAAACCTAAAAGCCTGTACTTCAACCCGAAGCCCCAACCCTAAAATTGTATAGAAGGGCCTTCTTTCGGCTCGTCTCGCGGCTTCTCTTCTGCCTTGGCACGCTGAAGGATCGAGGATCAAATTTCAGGGTTTAGGGCTAGAGTTGGATTGTTTTGGCTTTCGGGTTTCGAGTCTGGGCGTATTTTGGCGCTGCAGGTAATAAGATGTTGCGGTTCCAAAGGCTAAAAATTATGGTAAGGAGAGTGGTTGCCGACATCATCCAGTCACCCTAGACGCCTTGAACACTCGGAACACCGAAAGCACGGTCCCACTAATCCCGCGCATGATAGGTGCTACCTTCCGAGCCGGCAAACACCAGCCATGGCTTTGGGTGGTTCCAAGTACCTAATCAGCACATACACTCCCAAAGACAAACGTACAAAACTAGTATCCTAAACCCAGGTACTTAATTGCTAGGTCCCTTAACCCCTAGACTGTCCATGAAACCTCCTATAGACCCTGTGCAGAACCCTTACAGGAACAGTATTTACAGTCCTTGGACCCTTAGATTACCTAGAGGATCATGGGACTTTGTAATTAAGTCGCTTATAACTGGGGTTATAAGCCCCCTAAGTGGGGGTATCCTAATTACAACCTACTTATAACCTTACCTACTAAGTCCCATGAGCCTTTAAGTAGGGGTTCGCGTCTCCAACCCGGAATCCTCGAGCCGAAGTCTTCAGCATGGAGCCCTGAGCCCGTACTCACAGAAACCGTGAGGTCGAGGGGCCTACTCGGAGGATCATGGGATTTGTAAGTAAGGTGATAAATACCTTAATCGGAATTATACTTAAGTACAGCTATAGTTGCGTAATTTCTGATTAGAATACCGAAAAAGATCCTCCGCATCGAAACAGCCCTGTAGTGTAGGGGCCTCAATATTTAGCTAGAATAAGGTCTCATACTACATAGATACAAAAAAAGAAACCCAAAGTAGTATAGGTAATTATTAAAGCCCCCATATTACATAGCCCCTTGCTCAGGCGTGCGCAACCGGCACGCGCCCGGCGGGCAGTGCACGCCCAGGCCTAGCACGAAAAGGTGGAGACTGCAAGGGAAACATCAAAGGGGAAAAGGAAGGACCCTTAATGGGTACCCCTACCCTAGAATGGGCTATATAATGGGTATATAATAGCCATATTAAGGGTATATTCCCCAGGGGTCCTTATTAAGAGTCCCTCCTTTTACCCTTGAACAACAGGAACCCCAGAGTCGATTCTAGGGTCCCTTCGCAAGTCACATAAGCTGTTTTTAGGTATATTGGTGGTTGTCAAAAATTGGGTCCCTTTTTGGGTACCCTGAATATTAGGTGCCGTACGTACTATAACAAGGACCCAAGAAGGGACCCCAATATTGACAACCACCCATATACTACTACAACTACAATAAGAAGCCTTATAAGGAAGAATAGTAGCAACTATTCAAGCTTCCAACCATGTTAATCCAGGGCGGAGCTTTTGGGTTCGAAGCTTCGGTGGCCACACCCGGCAACCTGAAACCATGAAGTTTCAAGGGCCTATACGAGCCGTAACATGTGGAGGGCTCTGGAGTTCTTGAGCCATAACTAGAATAATGAAACCTATGAATAGCTTTCGTAATTATTCAGAGTTCGGAATCGACATTCGCTTCGTCGGAAAACTTGAGGTTTTCGCCGCATCTGAAGTCAGCGCACACTGTGAGCTCGTAACTTCAATGTGAAAACCCAAAGGAGGCCCCTCGATTTACAGCACTCGTCGTTTCAATCTGAATGGAAAGGCACCGCAATAATTCAAGCTCTAACCCGAAACCCCAAACCCTCAACCCTGAACCCCAAACCCTAAACCGCTAAACCCCAAACTCCAAATCCTACATTGGCTCTCAATTCATGGCACGAGCTCCGCACTTTGCCACATTGGCTGCTGGCATCTTCTAGCGCATCCTTGGATGTCTTGGAAGACTATGCCCTGAACCCTAAACCCTTTTCCGAGCAAAGACTTTCAACTAAATCAGGTGAGCGCGAACACCTACATTCCCCGGAACCCAAGAACCCCAAAACCCTATTCTAATTATTATAGCACACTTATAGTATCCCTTATAGTAGCCCATAAAGGCCCCTTTGAAAAGGAACCCATATTCTAATGATGAAGGCCCCTAGAATACTGTGAGCTGGGGCTGAAGAGTGCAGTGCACCTAGACAGTGTAGACCTGTCTCGCACACCTTGCAGTTCACAGCCTTTGAAGCCACTTCTTAATCAACCCTAAACCGGTCCGGGCGCCTTACATCGCGGAAGGGCCCAGCTACTATAGGGGCCCGAGCGGAATAGGTTTCGGGGACATATCATAGTACAGTATGTTTTGCTAGAGGGACTATCAGGAAATACCAGTGCCGAAAATCAGACCTCGATAGATTGAATTCTGCTAATGAGTCTTGCGCACGAAGGGACACTTCCGATGCCGCTTCAAGGTCTGGGGACTAGCTTGATGAGCCTTCTTGCGTCCAAGCGGCGGCCACGTGCGAGGGCTGTAGGAAGAAGAACTATCCTAAACCTGACACTCTAAAGTTGACACTTCTTCCTGCTTGCTTGCATTTTCAAGAAACTCACGAGTAGTCACGATATCCTCACTCAGTCATAAGCTAGGGGCCCATCGTTGGTTTAACACGTTGTCATGAACAGACTCAACCTCGAATGTATCACTGTAGTTTCATCAGGCTGAGCTATAATCCGTGAATTGTTATTTGTGGTGGTTCTCGTTTGCCTAAAGTTAAAGCCAGAAAGTTGGAATATGATTATCCTAAGCCCTTTATGGGAAATTATAAGGCATCCTACCCTGAAACCATATTCCAACTTTCTGGAGTTCCCTTTAATACTATGTGGGCTGAGGATGATCCAACTCACCTTCGAACAGTGACACCAGCCGAGTCCTAAGCCCCATCCCTTTGTGACCAGTAAGCGGCATGAAGGGAAAGGGGCCGCGGCAGAGGAATGCAACGGGCTTGAGGCTCGGAGCAAAGTTGCGTGTTCTCTAAAGTAAGGTAAAACATGCCCCGCGACACAGTATCGGACATGACATGCATGCCTTATCACGGCAATTTCTACTGTGCAGCCGCTTGAATCCCCTCTAATGCGACTTCTACAGTACTACGTTTTGAAACTGATACCGTGCAGGTGGGCTCAATGGGTTCTCGTGCAATGTCCATGATGCGATCATCAAGGGCAGTTATAAACCCGAAGGGTCTAAAGTACCTATATAATAGAATGTAGGGAATGTCAGGAATTACTATTCAGAGTTGGGGAAGTATCCCCCATAACAATACCCAGGGAGTCGCATCCGTCAGCTTGATTCCTGAGACAACGACCCCTGAAACCTGAATGTCTACGGAAGCCCTTGGTATCGGTTTAGGGTTTAGGGTTTAGGGTTTAGGGTTTAGGGTTTAGGGACCCAAACCCAACACCTACACCCTAAACCCTACACCCTTGATGTCAGTCGTCACATTCGGCAACGCTTGAAAGTCTGCAAAGGCCAGGCCTCTTGAGCCCCCATGCTGTTATAGAATGTCGGAGCCCACCCCTTTCCAAGACGTCCCTAGATGCCGGTTTAGACTCCATGTACCAGGATAGTATACAACTACTTTGGCCCGAAAGGCCCGAAAATACCTTCAGAGGGACTACTTGAAGGCCAAAGTTTGCACTGATTGGGCACGTGGACCCCTAGCATACCCCTAAACAACCCTTGCTTCGTGCTGTGTTTCCTCTGTGCATCGACAAGTGGCGAGAGCACCGCGATTGACACATTGCAGGACGCAGGAACTTACGCTTACCTATAGGTTTGGGATTACGTTTTTGGATCCTAAATATAACCCTAAACGTGACCATGAACCACAAAAGGGAACTACCATGGAGCCTATGGGTACAGACAATACAAGCCTGATCAATATTGCAGGAAGCGGATTGAAAACCCTGGTCCGTTAACAGCAAAATAGAAGGATCCATAGAAAGCACCCTAATAGAAACCCAAGTGTTTCTTCATCAGGTTCCTACCTGACTCTGACAGAATACTAATAGAGCCCTGACCCTAAGCCCCTGCAGCAGAGGCTGGGGTGGAGAGTTGAGGGTTGTTGCCTGGTTTTGCTTCTTTTACGGCTTGAGGTGTTAGGGTTCGGGGTTTAATTTTGAGGTTCAGGGCGTAAGGTTTTCGGGTTTGGGGTTCAATTTTGGGATATTGGGTCTAGAATGCAATCAGGCTATGCAGGCTCGCACTGTGATCCTCTAGACTCTAAAACCCTGGCACGAATTATAAAAGCGAATTTGCCTGCAAGAATCTACTGTGAGGACGCTGCGAGGTCACCTGTACAACACAGATGCAGAGATGAGAGATGCGCCGAAATATGCAGTTCCTGAGAGAAGCCCCCAAAAAACTTGAGTCTTACCCCTTAACCCTGAACCTTACCACTATGGGCTATTAGACCCTAAAGATCCCTATTAGGACCCTATTAAGGGTAGATTAAGGTACCCATAAGGCCGAATAGCCCATAGTGGTAAGCCCCCATTTGAGTCAAAGGGGCCGACTAGTCTGCAGCCTCAAACCACGTCGGGAAATCTCTGGAGCTGCAGGCGCAAGGCGTTTAACGCCGCGTAGCTGCTTACAGGAGGCATGTGAAGGACAATCAGGGCCGAGCTGAGTTCAGCTGTCATATTCCAGAGGGTCCTACGTACCTACATGGGAGATACTTGGGAGTTTCCGAAACAAGGGACCCTAGTATAGTACCCTCAATAGGAGGGTCCTTGTTAAAAGGACACCCAAAATACGGTACCCCTAATTGTCGGAAATTCCCACTCCCCCTAACCATGAAAACTAAAACGATCTTACTGTAGAAAATCTTATCGCCGAATTGTAACACGGCGCCCGAAGGAATAATATTGACAGTTCTTCAGAACTTCAGGCTTCTCTATCTAAACCCTCACAGAACGCTTACAGATACCTTACGGATGACTTATGAGTCCCCGAAGATCCCCCTTAGAATCCTCTGCTTATGGGCTCAGGGGACGTAGTAAGTATACATAGGGTTTAGTTGGGGTTATGCATGACCTGAGTATATAGGCATATCCCAATCACAACCTTACTTATACCCGTACTTGCTAAGTCCTTTGAGCTTTAAGTATAGATCCCGTATAGAAGCCTTATTAAAACACACAATGAAGTAGATGCCCCTGTGTTTGAAGTACAACCCCATCTCAGGGCTCAATAAGCGAGGAGCACGGAAGCTTGCAGAGTGTTGAAGATGGACGCCACAAGTAGGTGTGGGCTTCAGGCTTCATAGGGTTTGGGGGTTGAAGGTCTTGGGTTTTTTGAAGTTTAGGGGTTGAGGGTTTGGGTTTTCTGGTTTCTTGTTAAGGAATCTGGTTTAAGTTACCATAATAGGGTTCCATAACACGTAATATGACTTCTTTATTATGGTAACTTAAGTTAAAGCCCTTAACAAGAACCAAAAAGTTACCCTGAGCCCTAAACCCCAAACCCTAAATCCCCTAACAAGAACCCAGTTCAGGGATTTTGTGTTTTAGGGGTGCGGGGTTCTTCGTTCGTCTGGTCCAAGGCTGTGGCGAGGTGCGGGTATTGAAAATTCTCGCATGTGAGGCTTTACCGCCTTCGGGCTTCTAGGATGTGGGGTTTAGGGTTCTGGTGTAGGGTGTAGGGCTTAGGTTTAGGGTTTAAGCTTAGGGTTGAGGGTTTGAGTATAGGGTTTAGGGTTTAATTAGGGTCGTTCAAGACTTCCTGAACTTCGTTTCAAATACAAAACGACACGAATCAGAGTGGCATCCATGAGAAGCAGCCAGTTGAAAATGTACACATCGCAGTGTGACGCCGCTAGAGGTGGCCCAAAGCCCAAAAACCCTGCCTTTTTGTAGGGTCCATAAAACTTCCATATTAAGAGTTTCTGAATCAGAACCTACACAAAAATTAGCATAGGGTTTTGGGCACATTTTCTATATTAGACTTCTTTAACAACAAGAAGCTACAACAGTAGGTCATGGTAGTCCAGGGTACTGGGGCCCACCCTCAGGCCCTTGGACTCGAAAATCCATATAATATAGCCTCGAGCCCTTTATCATGAAGAGGCACACCCACACTTTCTCAAAGCTACAGCATTCGACGGGCTTAAGGGTTGGGGTTTAGGGTGAAGATTTTAAGTAAGGTCAAAAGTTACCACAATAAGGACACCAGAGACATCTTGCAAAGCCACCTAGACCTTTACCAGCTCGCAAGACGAGCTTGAAGCAGGGCAGACTATAGGCTCTCCGGCTTGGAGGGGAGTGTAGGGTTTACAGGTTCATTAAGACGTAGTTCATCACGGAACAAAGAGCATACTATGAAAAACTACCGCGCAATTAAGTGCGAGAGAACCAAGCACTCCGGTCGGAAAGATGAATACATGTACATGCAACCGAGTACCTCCTATGCACGTGTTATGGAATGTACGCACATCTACACGCGGGTGTGTACACGAAGATGACAGCAAATAACCGAAAAGAGCACACACTGGAATACACAGCACAGGGCGAAAACATGATGCTGCTGCGTTCTAAACGGGAAAGACTTGATTTCGGTCCTAGGCTATACCGGTGTGTAATGACCAATGTAGATACGCATGCACAATGCAAGTCATGGGATTGCATCCGAGTACGCGGAATACAATCGCACGCATTCACACCATGGAATACATGTCGAAACGAGCTCGGCTGTCGCAAGTTGAACGGCCGTCGCAAGTTGAACCTAAAACCTGTGGACGGCTGAACAACTTGAAAGTCTCGTAATCATGCCCTCTTACAGACACAATACAGTAGTAGAGTGTACTCTATCCCGACACCCTATTGTAACTGTTAAAGCCCTCTTAGAGCCCCTATATATATGTATACTATAGTCTA